CACCTCCGCAGCTCGAGCAGCAGCGTTGCGCGGCTCGACGGTTTGATCGCTCGTACTACCGCTACCACCAAGTGTTTTTCCACCTTTAACCGCTGGCCTTGATGTGGTCTGCTTCTGAGGGACAGGTGCACTCGAGGGTCCAGAATCAGGAGAGGTACCCAGCACTCGGCCCGGCTGGGCAAAAGGGTCCGAGGGATTGGAGGACTTCGAACAGAGATTTCCCATTTCGGTCTGCAAAGTTCAGGATTGAGAGGGGGCGGAAAAAGCAAACAAAGAAAAAGGGATAGCTTCTTCAATCGACGAGCCGATGAAAGTCGCTTTGCGAGGGATGGACAGCGATGGGTCTCCACTACGCCTCCGCCGCCTCCTCCCTCTCTCGACCGGATAAGGGTTTCTTAGGCTCGAAGGGATCGCAGAATAGCCTGGTTAGGACGATGGGAAATAAAAAGCCGTCATTTTGATTCTCAAAAATATCCTGGAAAAGATTGCTAGGGATGTGCATATAGAAAGAATGTCTTGCCATCATCGGTGTTTGGTTACACACTGCCGCCTGTCAACGATCCAAGGGCCCGGGGTAGTGTTTGCTCTGTTTGCTTTTCAGTCATTTCTAGGAGTTTGTCGAGTTTGCATCTTCTGGCATCAGTACAAACCCTTGAAGGAATATATGTATGTAGTTCATTATTGAGAATCCGTCGGGAAGGCAGGGGGAGCTTTTAGTTGAATACTGCTATCGCGGGAGATTGATTTCCGGCTTCCCCGTACGGAGTACTCATCTTCTCTGATTTTAATTCCAATGAATAGAGGTGAGCTTGCCTGTCTTTTCACTTCGCTAGGCCTCAAGGAGCTCCCCGTATATGCCGTCGTCCGTCATTCCCTGTCTTCAACCATCCCGCATAAAAGTATCCCTTGGCGAGAGGACGGGGTGGGTTAGTTCTGTATTCCCCTCTCCAACAACCAGTGACAACGCGGCTGGCAGGGATTAAAAAAAAAAGTTGTGTTGGACCGTTCGCGAGACTGGGATATGAAGTATAACTACGGAGTAGTAACAACGCGCTTGAGCATCACAACAAATCGGATAGCTCGAGGTAACACGCTCGCCTCCCCGCCATAGCGAGCGCCAGGCCAATCACTTTTGATTATGCGAACAGGGCATCATGTCCCGCGTTTTGATCTCTTAATCCTCCGCGTCGCCCTGCGATGCAAAGCCCGTCATTGGGCGTTTCTCACGTGGCAGCGGGAGCCTTAGTCAGCGAATGGATGTTTGGCTGGTTACATAAGCGTGCGGAGTGACGAAAGAAGTCGCGGCAACCGACCTGAGAGCCACCAAGGTCCTCACTGACTTTTGAGCGTTTTCCGATCACCGCACCGCCCGTGCCAACCGGCTGCCCATCTGCCCGTAAGCCTTTTCGCGAGTATCAGTTTCTTTTTCTGCCACCGCATTGCCGAATCTTTGTCGAGGTATGTGGCTCCCGGACGATCGTGCTCTATCCTATCACCTTGCCGCTCCGCTACTAATTCGGACCCTCATCTGTCAGGCGCCCCCGTCGTCGTTGAGTTGTGGCGGGCGCTCGGTCCTGCTCAACCCGGAAGCTTAGATCTATGTCTCCAAAACCCGAGACAGACCCATTCTGCTTAGAATGCCATTGGGAGAATTACCACATGGCCGACGGCAATCTCCTTTCCGGCCCAGAGTGCTTTGATATATCCTGCTGGAGTGGTGCTGATTTCGACAACCATAATTCTCTCTCGTGCAACCTGTCAGCAGAGTGTTGCAATATGGATGATTGTGCGGATGCTTGCACTACTGTCTGCGATGGCTTCGTCGACTGCGACAAGTCCACCATCTGCTCCGAGTCCTATTGCGACAATTTAAACTGCGAGAAGACGTCTACTGCCTGCTACGATAAGAATTGCATCGAGGTGCATTACGATAATGTCCACCAAACACATGAAAATAACTTCTTGAGCCAAGATGGATCTCTGAACTGGGACTGTATGACCTTGGGTCCCGAGCACGGCAACTGTGGGTTCCACGGCGAGAACTTTGACGGTTCCTTTACTTCACACATTCATCCCTCCGGGACAACGGTTGCTTGTGAACTGTCCTCTATCAAAGATCTGAGTCAAAGCCACTTCTCTGATCAGCAGACCCCTTTCGACTCACATTCTCATATAGTCTCTGGGCCGTGTCTAAATCATGGACTCGGAGCCATTTGCATTAGCAATACGACAGAACTTTGCCACAACACGGGAAACTGTACATATCAACGAAAGATAGGCGGTAATTTACCTCTCGGAAGCTGTTCTGGGATATCGACGCCCTTTGCTTCATTACACTCTTCCAGGACTGCCAACCATCGTCATCACCATGGCCATGGCTCTTTCCAGGCCCTGGCCTTGCAGCTATATCACCGACGACAAGAAGCAACGCCAACGATTACAGCTTCCACGCGCTCTACCCCGAGTCTGAGCATGCATTCAAGCCCTGTTCCAGCACCCATGGGCCAAGAAGCGACTGGTACCCCATTGTTCGATGCCTCCAACTTTCTCGGCGCTGAAGAGCTGCATATTTGCAGATGGGTTGGAAATAAATTAGAAAATAAAATTTGCGGTGAAATATTTCCAGACGCAGGCAGCCTGCAGAAACACCTCACAACAGCCCATGCGGACCCAACGCAAGGATGCCAAGGACAAGGTTATTACTGCTGTTGGGAAGGCTGTTCCCGTCCAGACGAACCGTTTTCGCAGAAGTCTAAACTACAGGGCCATTTTTTAACACACAGTAATTGTACGTCTTCCTGCGCTATTTTGGCTTTCCCGGCATGCTTCTAACCTTCGTACAGATAAAAGTTTTCGATGTTCCATTTGCGGGAAGCCTTTTGCAAGGCAGGCAACCTTGGAAAGGCATGAACGAAGCCACCGAGGAGATAAGCCATATAAGTGTAAGGAATGTGGGAAGAAGTTCACAGACAGCAGTGAATTAAGTGAGTTGATATCTAAGGTCCAGAATCAGTCTGTCTTATTCTGACACCTGGTTAGAAACACACATGCGCACACACACCGGCGAAAAGCCATTTAAATGTAACCATCCTGGATGCACCTTCGAGACCGGGGACGTAAGTAGACCCCAAAAACAGCTGCCTACCGTACAGCTTTTCAAAGTCTCACTAACAACAACCTGCCCAGTCGTCCAATATGTCTAGCCACAAACTAAGTAAGTCTACTGGAGTAATGCCTAGGCCCATTTCATTTAGCTAATGCATATCACACAGCCCACGGAGAACGGAAACACAAGTGCCCTTATCCAGGATGCTCTAAGAGTTTTACAAGACCAGGTATATATTTTCTTTTATGGCCTTGTGGGCTGGTCAGATTTGTTAACATTTCCCTATTCTAGACCAGTTAAAACGACATTTAAAAGGGACGCACAAACACACCAACGTTTTCCCGAGCCGATTGACTTCTCCAATTGGGAACCCATCCACTCCGCAAATTTAAACTTAACAGGTCTCGCTTGATGGACCCCCAATTTTAACGGAAAATGTGATAAAATCGAACACCAAACCCTCCGCTGGAGACCATATTTTATGGAATTAACGAATATACCAAAAAAAAGAAAAAGGGTTTATATGCTCAACCAGTATATAAATAATGTCAATGATGTGTTTGTTACGAGACTATGTACTGTACAAACATACATCAAAGATCGCATCACTAGCAATATGTTCATGTCCATATATTCAGGTAGATGTCTAATGAGCAATTGATTATTCTGATTTTGAACGTTCCTCAAGGACTTCCACGGCATTTCTTAATTCTCGTATTCGCTGCCCAACTCTGCGCTTGATCTCCTCCCTAATATCTACTGGTATATCGCTGGAGTCTAGCGCAGTGCCCCTTTGAGCTCCTTCACTTTGCCCTTTGGGGCTCGGAGACGAGGATGAAGTAGCCCCTGTATATGCATCATAGGCGTGCGCTAAATCGTCAAACGCTTCGCGTAACGTTGCACGATCGGATTCGGCATAGATGGTGAGGGAATCCGTAGATTCAGTCGCGATCTCTAGCTAATGGGTGTGTTAGTGTCCAACCGACATATGTTTTGGTCTTTTTCTTTCTGGGTTTGAAATGGCCCTTTCTTTTTGACGGTGTAGTTAGGTAGGATACCTCGTCTTTAGCTATTTCATATCTACGTCCATACATCAGATTAGCAGGGGAGCTTTACGGAAACCAGCTTTCGGTAATTCGAGGGCGTATGATCTTTACCAACGAGTAATAAATGGGTGCGGATATATTTTGAAGGCGGCAACATACAAATCTTGCAATTCCTGGATATAATCGTCTGCGGAAACCCCCCTCTTGGACTGGGTAGTGTATCTCCTTGTTGTGGAATAACCAGCATACAGACTTGGTCTTCCTAGCCAAAAATGGCGGGCGTCTGGGATGCGTCGTGAAGTCGAGTTTCCCGAGGATACGATGGGCGCAACCTGGGGACAGCCACGGAGATGCGGAAATGATCTGAACCGTGTAGACATTACGCGGCAAGAAATGCGCCAGGAGACCTGAGAGTTATGGCCCATTGCAGAGCTCAAAGGGCTGCGAAAGGAACGCATTGGGATGGTCCCGAAGGTGCCTTTTGTAGTAGGAGGGAGAGCCTTCATGACATGGGGAAGAATCATGAGGTGGTCAAGGAAAGAAAGTGATTGGCCTCCCTTCACAAGAATGAGTGTGATGGCCCTTTGGCTTGCATGTTGGGGAAGCTGAACAAAGTTCTAGCTCGATCGAGTAACAATTATCCCCCGATACAATCCGCTTACTAGTAACCCAACTCCCTGAACTTGTCGGCGGAACTCGACGGTCGGTTGTAACAGCGTTTTCCCGCATGACGTCATTTGCTCTGCTTGCCGCCTTTAGTTACAAAACCTTTCAAAACGATCCTGTCTATTAACGAACTAAGTTATAGCTCTCTAAGTATTTGTAACTCTCATATGTGAGACTCTTCTTTACAGTTTTGCTCTCTGTAACCCCTGAAATTTCGCCGCATCCCTCTTTGCCCACTCTCTCATTACCTTTCTCATAATCTTGCCGCTCGGTAACTTTGGGACCTCGTCAATGAGCTCAACTCCTCCAGTTAGCCACTTATGCTTTGCAACTCGTGGCTTTATCCATTCCTGGATTTGCTCTCCGGTCAGTGGGTTTGGGCGTTGTTTCACGGCATCCTTGAGCACAACATATGCTCGAGGGAATTCCTCATCGTTCCTAGTGACATAGAGACAGAGGAAAGTTTTAAGTAAGTAATTGCATCACAAAGGGGTAGATAAATGGAGGAGGGGACCCACATCTTCATACCAACGACAGCGGCGTCGGCAATGTCATCATTTTCGAGCAACGCCGCTTCGAGTTCTGCAGGGGCCACTTGGAGTGCATTTACCTTGATAAGCTCCTGTCTTCCAGTATTAACCTACTGATAGCAATGGGGTAAAGAAGAGCAACATTACTTACCTTCTTTCTATCAACAATCCAAAACCAGTCACCGCGGCAGACGGCGATATCACCGGTTCGAAGCCATCCATCCGACAACATGGTCTCTCTCGTAGCCTCCTCATTCTTCCAGTACTTCATGGAGACATTGGGGGACCGTATGTACATTTCACCGGGTTCGCCTTCTGGTACTTCATTCCCATCGTCATCTAGCAGTTTACACTCACAATTCGGATCAAGGACCCCGGCGCTTCCTGTTCTATCCCACTTGTTAGGATTAGAGCATTCAAAACAACGAAATAATACCACTAAGAAGGCGCATACTTATCCTCGACACCACCTGGAACATGAATTGCACCCGTCGTCACTTCGGTCATTCCCCAACCCTGCTTGATACTAACCCCATACTTTTCTGCAACCTCATTCTGAAGCTCTCGTGATAACGGTGCCGCCCCGCATGAAATTTCGAGTACACTGCTCAAGTCATATTTGGCCGTTTCTGGCCGTTTGCTCAGCATAACCATAATTGGAGGCACCACGTGCAGGTAAGTAATTTTATAATCCTGTATAGCGCGAAGATAGTCTTCGAAGACGAACTTTTTCATCACGTATATAGGAACTTGGTTGCGTACAGCATGAAGTATTGTCATCATCTGCCCGTACACATGGTACAGCGGCAAAAAACCAATCCAGCGATGCTGCGGAGGGCCCTCGGGACCATATTGAACCAACGCATTGCGAATGTAATTTGACTGCAGAATGTTGGCGATCAAATTTCGGTGGCTGACGCAGACACCTTTAGGTAAACCAGTGGTGCCAGACGAGTAGTTGATTGTCGCAATCGTGTTTGCAGCTTCATTTTCACTTAATTCTGGCCATTGGTAGTCACGGGAGGCCTCGAGGTTCGCTAACAATTCTCGCCAGTCCCGAACGCCGTCCCGCATAGGGACTTCTGTTTCCGAAAACTGAAATATACGGTCGGTTGGAATCCCGGCCTGCCTTGCTGCTGCTACAGCTGTGTCAAGGAGAGAGGGATGGACAAGGATAACTTTGGCCTCGGTGTTATTCATTTGATATACGACCTCTATTACCGTATGTCAGTCAAGAGATATAGACAAGGACTTTGGGTGATCCTCGTCAAGCTCCACATAGCTTTCAGGCAACTCACCATTGACGCTATAGCCAGGATTTATTCCGCTGAAGATCCGTCCTGACCCAACGATACCCAAATACGCAACTGGGACAAAAATTTGATTCGGAGTGAAAATGAGGACTACTTCGCCCTTCTTAACTACCTGTTGACCAGAGGCCTGGTCCTTGAAATTCTCAAGGCCAGAACACAAACGCTTCACCCAATCCAATGCAGCAGCTGTTGTCAGCTGAAGGGTCGGATCTGCAGAATCGATCCAGATGGGCTTTGTGGCGGAACGCAAGGGTGAACCTGGGGGAAATAGAAAAGAGAGAACATTGGAGGATGGGATCGGAATCGGAGCAAATGGGGACTTTTTCACCATCTTCGCTGTTGTCCAACTGCTGTTCTTGCGGCTCTATAGTAGTTATCGCGCCTTGGGTATAGTTGAGTGCTTGGTTCCTGGTGAAATGATCACATTAAAAGTGACCGTGCTGCTCAACAAAACCTAACTTATTCTTGAAATGGTCCAGCATGGGAAACCGAAAAGAGAGGGGAAGCATCGGAAACGAAAGACTAATGCAACCAGTATATAACTGTTCATACATAGTCACCGTCCCAGTTCATTCCGAGGAAAGCCTCGGTACTGCCAAGATAATCTCGAGAGATTGATCTAGGGGCATCCATAAGCCTGCGGAGTACGGAGTACTCCGTACATAGTAAGCTAATAACAAGGAGTTTTTGGTGAGCTAGTTAGTTGCTAGTTGTATCGACGACGTGGGAACCAAGAATGTCGAATCTCCACGGCTCATGATCCGGGCCGAGTTCAACAGCAGCAATCCACAAGGTGAACTAGTTAACTAGGCCAGAAGGTTGCCGCGTTAGCGTGCTAGCTTGCCTCCGCCGCCTCAGCGACGAAGACCGCCGTTATGTCTCCCTGGGACAGGTGACAGCCGGCCTGGATGGCGAACTATTCTCGCCTCCTTTCATAATGTTGAAGAGCAGCTCTTGGAAACCGTTTTTCGCGGGTGCCAAACTTAAGCCAAAAATCCTTTGGCGTGTTGTAACTAAGGGAGCAGTTAAAGAGGGGATGTCCTAACTCATCACAATGTGATACATTTGCTTCTTTGATTGACAGGTCGTTGCTTTCGGGCGGAGTGCTTCATGTTTACTTATCCAAAAACAGACTAACTAGTTATTTGAGTAAGAAATTTGTTAGGGAACAGGTAAGAGTATGCGAAAAACAGTGATAACCACAACAGTGCCGATGTCCTTTGGTAACTAACTATGGAATGTTCTCCTTTTTCCTTTGTGGCTTGATCCACTGTTTAGTATTTCCAACTTTCCGCTACCTTTGGGATTGCTGTGCCTTCGATGCTTCACTGCATCCTAGCCTTTCTTATCTAGCTTGGAGACGCGGGCAAGAATATCAAGCTGCAAAATCTGGTTCCGGGAAGCATTGACAGCTGCTTATGAACACTTATCCTTGTGGTCAAAGGGGTCCACAAAGCTATTGATCGTGATAATATCGGACGTCCATGCTTTAATAGCATTTTGGACCCTCCTGGCGTCATGTGCCTTTTTGAAAACCCCCGTCACCATCAGAAATGACACCACCCACCAGCAGAGAGAGACAGAGAGAAAATGGAATTAATTTCACAGTGCTAAAATGTTGCAGCTTCGAACAAAGCCTCCTTTTAATTCTTGCTTGGTATGGGACTGAGCATCTATGAACTGATATTTTTCCTTTAGCAAGGATAGATTATATCAAAAGGGCCGCGGACTGTCGATCCTGAATTTCCAATAGGCGCTCAATTTCAGCGTATGATGCCATGTATAGAATTATGCCACCGCTTCCGGGTGTCTCCATTGTTAAGCCACAGTGTAGAGGACATACATACCTAGCAACTGGTCTGGAGTTTCTACAGCATTGACGCGTCCTTTGCACATTGACAAGGCGCGAAATCGAAGGTTCAACTCTTCTATGTAACTTGGAATGAAAGTTTCTATCAATGTAGAGCCTCTTTTAAGAGCAATTGCATGTGAATAGTCCTGCACGCACAGAGACAGTCCATAAAGAACTTATACAGGAAGCTAGCCTTGCGACAATTTCCTCAGGAGCAGAGGACCTCGAAATAAATAAATAAAAAAATAAAAAAAAAAAAAAGACCTATGTTGGTCCAGGAGTTGCCAATCAGTTTTGAACCAGGAAAATGCAAAATCGAACGTTTGGATTTAACTAGGATCTAAGCTCTAGCTAAAGTTCCCCAACAAACAGAGGGCCTATCAGGATTATCGACAGGTCTTTGTTGAGATATATAATAATTCTGGAACCACAGGAAAGTGATCTAGTCCTACTCTGAAGATTATCTTTAATTCAACGTCGTTGCTAACAAGGGCAATGTTGGCATGGACAGACCTCATTTATCTAAAAAAAATAAAAGTCCTTCAATTCGGTTTAAAATCTGAGTGAAGCCCAGAGCCACATATAAAGTAGAAATATTGAGACGGTCGTACACGTCATTAATTAAAATTCAAATTCAGAGAGAACAAGACGGATAAGAAAGCTTGCTTTGGATCGATGAAAGGCATGGCTTTGTCATGAAGAACAGGGCGTTAAGTCATTATAAGGCTGAATCATTAACAAAGCAAAGATCCATTCAACACAAATGAATTCCGCGGATAGGCCAAGATTCATTAATAACAAAAATAATAAAGAAATCATCCAAGGGAGCGTGCTTGAGTGTGAGTTAAGTAGTGTTACCAAATAAATATAAAAAATAAAATAAGGAAGAGGCTTTAATTTATCTAGAACGCCCGGAGTGCCTTTCACGGCGACGAGGGCGGTAGTCTGAGTAGTCGTCATCATCCGAAGAACTGTGATCATATTCGCGGTGCCGCGTTGAGCGACGTTTGTCATCAACATCATCCGTTAATCCTAATGCAGCAAGGCCTTTGGCAACATAATCCGTTACACTCTGGCTTCTTTTCTTGCGATGGCGACGGGGTTGAACATCTTCGTCGCTAGAATATCCTGAACATGGAGACCGACCACGGGATTCGGAACGATAGTGATCATATGCCTTTTTACCAGCTGCCGCCAAGACACCCGCTGTGGCAAGGCTCTTCATTCCGCTATGATCTTCTGATCTGGAACGTCGGCTATGGCGTCGGTGCGAGCGCGATCTGGAGGACCCGTTCATTAAGTGGTTTGTGGCCAATCCGGCGATAGTGGATTCCAAAATATGACGCTTATTGTGCTTATTTGGGTCACGTTCAATAAGTTTGTCCATTCCACCAGCGCCGATGGCAGCCGTTAGTACTCGTTTTCCCTTCTCTCCCGTCCAGCCGCCGGGTGCTTTCCGTGCACGATAGGCTTCTGCAGCACCCGCAGCCAATGCAGCAGTGATGGCATGTCTGATCTCTTTCGACGCAGCGTCAGGTGAGGGGGACCTTGAGGAGTTTCTATTCCTCTGCCTATGCTCCCTCCGACGCCGGGGATGATCGTGATCACGGCGGGAGCGGGGGTCAGAATAATCGTAGCTTCGATCCCGAGTTCTCGTTCGATGATGCTGGTTTCCACGAGAGCTTGAGCCTGCCAAGCCGAGTGCGGCCATGGCCTGCTCGCCCAGTGACTTACGCCGACGCGGTTTAGGGGAAGGAGACCGGGACAAGGAGAAGTGAGAATATGAGGGACGTTCTTGGTAATAGTCATCTGCTTCTGGGTCAGTCGAAAACCCTGCAGTGGAAGCGATGGGGCAGGGAAAGACGGAGCGGAAGCAATCTGAGCGACAAGAAGTGAGCTAAATCTCTTACCTCGATGCTTATGCTTCCGGCCTCCTCGATGTTCGTGATTGTGTGTCGAACGATATCCATCACGACGACTCCGCCTTGAAGCAGAGGAAGGCCTCGCAGCGTCTGTATGACGACGCTGGGAATGCGTTTTATAGACAAGATCGTCAGGACCGTTTGATGCGGTATATGGTTCCAGGGGATATGCTGGCCCCGGGGCATGGTTGTATGGGTGGTCTCGGTAATAATACGAAGCTGCCATGCTGACGGAAATGTAAGCGGACAGACTTCAAGGAATACCAAGTGAAGACCCGCAACAAAATCGAGAATGGTTGAAGAATAGCAGGAAGAACAGCGCGTTTGCTGTATTAAATTTTCAGACAGTAGAAGTGTACAGAATATATTTGAAAAGCGGATGAATGATATGGAAGTCGAGCGAAAGCCTCGAGTGTGAGGTTGAAATGTCTCGGTGTGAATGCAGGCGGCGCGGATGACGCAAAAGTCGGGTGAGACCTGCGAGTGGGGCCAGGCCGGGCTTGGCAGGCTGATCGACTTGCCGCACGTGTGTCGTCTATCTTTTCTCATCCAAGTTCCGATCTAGTTAGATTGTCTTTGGTTTTGTTTACCTGCTGCGACGAGCAGAAACACCCTTCAGGGGTCGTTTTGAGATTTGTTTTAAGGTGACCTTTTCCTCGGCATGTCCCACGGATCATCACTGAGGTTCCCACGGCTTGCCCTGGGCAGCTCTCCATAACTTTATTCCCCACCTGCCCCGGAGCCTAATCCAACCCCAAAAGTCATCGTCAACGCCGGATGGAGTACTCCGTATTCCACAGTAAATTGTATATACGGAGTATATCCATACATACATAATGATGTGCTCCGTACTCCGTATTAATATCTATCTAATTAGGTTGTATTTCCATTCAGGGTAAAATTGGCCCTGCCAGCAAATCCAAAACTGCAAAACTGACATTATTTCCCTCTCTTGGAGGCCATAACATGGAATGCATATATCACGGATGCCACTGAAAGATAAAAGGCATGAACATTAGCTTGGGTTCGGCGAGATTTGCCGCATTGATTCGAATTCCTTAAGAGGCGAGGCAGGTTCATTTATCAAGGCTCTCTTTGCCGCATATTCCTTTCTTCGTAGCGCTGGCCATCGCTTATGCTCAAAAGTTTGGCGGTGCATGACGAGAATGGTTGACTTGCCCGCTCGACCAGCTACTGGGCCGGCTTACTGTCGAGCTTAGCGGAGATTCAACATCTTCCTGCGAATGCGCACATGGCTCTATTCTCACAGGGCTAGCGTTTGACCAACCACCCTCAGGCCAGATACCGCTCAGATTGGGCGGACTGTTCTCTCTGTCTAGCGTGCGATGTGTTCGTTGGTGCTGCTTCATATTATCTTTTCGGGTAAAGGCCTTATTGCAGATGGGGCAGTGGACGCTTTTTTCCCCGGTATGCGTCTTTCCATGTCGAGCAGCGTGGCCAGAAGTCGTAAAGGTCGCAGGGCACGAATGTGATGCCGCATACGGACAAGGGTATTTGTTCTTCTTACTTGGCTTTTGCGCTCTCATGTCACCAGGTCCATTAAGCAGAGTTTGGGTGCAGGGAGGATGAGTTGGAAATTGAACAGGCGACGCCGTCGGGCCTCCGTGAGGAAACGAGTACCCTAACATCGCCGGCGGGTGTGCTAAGGATTGTATTCGGGTCGAATCATCTTCCAGGTGTATTGAACCGCGTCGCGAATGTTGCATTTCATCAGCAGCGAGAGAGCCCAGGGATCTAGGTGAACTGCGCGGGACGGCGAATGATGGGTTATCGTCATTGTTCAGTATTGAAACTCTTCTGCATTTGCCGTAGTCCATAGTGTCTCTCCTCGGCGAAAGGTTAATGCATACAAAGTCGTATCCTAGACAATATATATCACTATCACATAACTAGACACCTCGGGCCGTTGAATCCTGGAAGTAACTTGGGGTTAGCATGTAGAAGGAAGGAGGGCAAGAAAGGAGGGTGTACCCTCAGCTTTGCAGGGTGTCTTGAATCTAAATGGCTTGTTTCAAGACTAAAGGATATAAGAAAAGGGAAGCACAGCATCCACTGTGGAAGTTCCGTCAGTCAAATTGTTGGGTGTGACTCTGCCACCAGGAGGTTTATAGCAAAGATATAGAACACAGAGAACGAGCTCGACCTGGACCGCTGGACTACCGCGAGAACAAACAATCGTTGATAGAGACGGAACCAGACTAATGCGCAACCTTTAAATGGATAGAGACGAAGTCGACGTTTGGCATACGTCGATTCGAGGGACCATCGGTGCTCAATCAAGCAACTGTCCCTAAACCACACCAATTAGAAAAACAAGGCGCAAGAGGAGGCCCTCCCATCCCAAAGGAACAGGGAAACTAAAATTAGGGCCTGCCTCTGAGCCAAGTACAAGGGTGGCGGGGAAAGGTCGATAGTGAATGGCAACCTTTCCGACAACTACTGACGCCGAAGAAATCTTTTCGTGAAAAGAATAGAAAAATAAATAAAGCGAGGCCAGCGATGGCCATCAAGGGACCAACTTTCGGTCAAGTCAAGCTGTTATCCAGAAACTACTCAAAGTTGCCGCATGGGAGAAAGAAAACGAACCCAGTCGCTAAAAAGAGACCTTGTTGGGAAACTTATGTGACTGGATTATGAAACGAATACAACAAGAGCGGAAGCCCCAGAGCAGCCCTTTTTCGGGTGCAGTCAGGGCTGAATTATGAGGGGAGGGGATAGCAGGGCTTGTATCGGGAAGAATGTGAGAAATAAGATCCAAGGGGGGCCGTATGCGGAATCCGATTCGTAGCCCAAGGGAAATAGAAAAAACGAAAAGGCAGAGCCCTCAAAAGCCAACAGACTGGCCCCAAACGGACGGCCATAATTCGATAATTCGAGCTAACATGAGCAGGCTAGCCGAATGACTATTATTGCTGGTCAATTCCGACCCTTGAAATGGTCACATGTAGTCCATTTCCACTTGTACATTTCCTGAAAATCATTAACGATTGGGGACAAATTAACAAATGGGCGATAAAAAACGCCCATAGTAATAGTTATTGTGGCCCTCGGACCGGCAGTCCCCCAGTTGCCCAGGGCAAAATACGGGCGGGGCGCTGTCGCAACACCTTATTCATTGCTATATACAGTGGTAACAGAGCCCGAAGGAATTGAAGATAACTAGATAGCTGTGGCATCAAGTTATCCTTGCGAAGAAAAAGATTTTTTTTTTTTTTTTAAAAAAATAAAAATAAAAATAAAAGAAAAGAAAAGTCAAGAAAAGAAGAGGGATGATGCAGCGATTGTTCCCGGATATGGTTGGCCATGGGAAACAAACAAGCCACTCGGAAAGCAATGCGATTCACCGCACGGGCTCGGGCCTGCTTTGCATTCCATCGGCCTTCTTCGCTGTTCAATATCTTGGGTTGGATTGGCAAAAGCCATAACGATGGAGGATAACTGGAAAGTTTGGACTTTCCAATCCCACCAACTCCATGACTACAGAGTACTGAGTAGTCGTTAAGAACTTCAACTGTGGGGGAGCCCAGCTGGATTGCAAGTCTGATCCTAACTTTGGCCAGGAATTTCGTCCAGAGGTTCGACGTTCAAAAGAAAAGGGGATCCCACCCAACCAAGTTGCCCTGGTAGATGTTGACATAAAGTTGGGATGATCCTGTTGGCTAAGACTTGCCCATGCAAAAAGCTGGGCCACGAACTACGGAGTAGTTAAATCACACTCAGGCGCTTCATCCAGCGGCCGGCGAGTTCGACTCGAGTTCCAGAAAACTGATCATCAATAACATCTCACCAGTTTCTCTCCTGGTTTTACTTCTGCACACATGTATAATTCCAAAGGCGTTGTCGCAGTTCGTTGACTTTCAAAATGCCTGCTCGTAACCAAATCGAAAATATAACGCCCTCGAGCACGCCAGTGCGCAGGGAGAGTTTGGTCCACAGCCAAGATCTCGTTACATCAGTTAGCTAATGCAATTACGGAGCACACACTGAAGTCCTGCATGGGGTGGGTTACCGCCCCGTGTTCCACTGTCAGCTCCTCGAAGATCTCCGCAAACGTGGCTGCTTCGTTGCATACGACACAAGAGTCGAGAAGTTCGCAACTGACGCCATCTCACCGAACTTAGTTAACTACCCATCTCACCGGATGGGGCTAACGAGCGACTGCAGATAAGCATGACTCAGGGGTGATGAAAGGCAGACCAAACATTTAAAGCATTCAAGCCACCCGCTCGTTATCCGTTGAGTCCCTACTTGCTGGGTGTGAAAATTGTCATTCGTATCCCGGATAAATGCTAGCCATTCTCGGACCCAAATCAATCTCTGCCATCTCTTTCCTCCTGCTCGCGAGATTGTCTCGCATCAAGACCGATGTATGTAGTACTCTGCTAGAACTCAACGAGTCAGGATTAGTACTTCCGGCGCCTGGTTTGGAATGTGGTTCCGAAGCAGTGAGCCTGATACCACTCCCAAAGACGACATGCCGTATTGCGAGAATATAGATTCTCGCCATGTCGCACAAACGCGAGGGGTATGAAATAGTTCGGTGATCAATTAACCTTTGTCCAGCTCTCAATGCGGGCAATCCCCAGCCCATGCCGCACCGTAGGTATGTAAGTAATGCATGCTTCTTGTTCCAGGGTCCCGCCTTGAAAGAACAATAGATATACTCACAAAAAGCTTGATTCCGGGCGGGCCGCTTCCGCAGCCCGAGTTCTTAAGGTTATCTCGTCCATCCAAAGCCTTGTCGCGGGCATCTAATTTCGTTCCTGCCGCAGCAGTGGCTCGACACTTTAATATTTTGTTTCGCTGCAAGATAGAGGGCCATTAAGCGATGAATGGTCGGGGGATGGGACATTTTCAATAGTATTGACGATCACCATTATCGCGGTGAAGGCCAATTGAGAATATCGAGCGCTGTTTACGCCCTTGCCTTCGCTAAATTCTCTTGCTTTTCGTGCCGGGTGTCGTGCATAGACGACCTCGAGTGTCATCGTAATAACGCTCCCACACGTGGGAAAAGGCTTCTTACAACGCCTTCCAGGCGAACCCGGCTATCCCAATCCCGTGTGATGATGCTTACCAAACTCCTTTATAACGACCTATTTAGAAGCTTTATACCGAGTTGACCGAAAACCCCGGTTTCTCTGGAGAATTTACTTCTTGGGAATACCTGAATTTAGATACAAACGGTAAGATCGAGAGTTGAGGAGCCGGGGTTTATCCCGCTTTCTCTCCGTTAAGATGGCCTCCGTTCTCGTACTACAAGCTCAATGACGGAACTAGTCGCGAGGGACACCCTCAATGCATAACATCCATAGGTAGACAGAAAGAGATGAGGATGTATAAAAATAAACCTCTATATAAAAAGTACGGCACAGTGCGTTAGAACAAAAAATAGAAACTTACACATTCATGCGAGGCGGTAGAGTCCGACTTTATACATATTCGTGACCCACCCAACGATTCGGGGTATATTATTAGTCCATGCCGCTCTGAAAGAAATTACAGTCCAACGTACGGAGTACATCCCAACCGGATTCTCGAAAGACCAAAAATAGAAAGACTCGGAATTCAAAATGAGGGAAACGTAGTTGTCTGAAGCAGCCACTGAGAGTGAAAACCAGGGACACCAGAGAAGACCAGCTCAAAAAACTATCCAGAGAATAGTTGATTGATGGAAATGCTCAACTAGACAAAATAGCACCAGCCAAGGAGAGTTGAATGAAAACTAGAAAAGACAAGTGTGATAAGTTGGCCATTTAGCAAGATCGGGAAATATTTGAAGGTAAAGGTTATTGAGGTGAGGCAAGCACCTTGTCCAACCATAAAATTGGAAAAATATCAATGAAAAGGTGGAAAAGTGATATTGAAAATGTTACAAGTCGTTAGGGTTTTGTCATGGCAATAGATGTGTTTACCATCGCGTATGCTGAATGTCAGTGGTCCCCCTACCTAAGAAAGGAGCCAGACACTGTGCATCAAGTCTGGCCCTGATCATAGAGCTTCAATGATGGTTGCAGCCACATCGACATTGCACTTTTGTGTGGTGGTTCGGGGAACTGCTAGAGCTTTCAAAAGTGAACTCCACGTTTCATCTGTTCTTGCCGAGATTGAGCCAACTTATATCAGAACTAAGCTGAGCACGCGGAGTACGCTGCTCCGAAAACTTAGAGCCCTGGGACTCATGCGGCCACCGCGTTAGTGGACGCTCTTGTTCCCCGGATGATGCCACAAACGAATTCGAGTCATTTGGTTGGTAGAGACTCGCGGAGTAAGTACTGCTTGCCACTCGTTCTTCTTTGAAAGCACCAAACGGCATATTCGGGTCGCCATGTGGTAGGTAGGAACCGGACATGTTGATCCTATCATCTTGATCGTCATCTGAAGCGACGCTAATTGAATCGCCGCTAGATATTTTTGCGGTTAAACCATGCTGCGCGACGTGGGTTCCAAAATCCGGAGCATGTTCAGTACTAGGACTACCGGACGCTACTTTTCCTAATGGCTGTGGGTGTCCCACAGTTCCAATGCTTAAAGCTGGAACCTCGGCGGAAGCATGCGGCCATGAACTATCTCTGTAATCTGACTTGGATTCTTGGGATGAAACCGTCGACCGCACAGAATGATCGCTAGGCCTATTGGTGTGTTGGTTGGCTTGGAAATATTTGCTCCATCCTTCATCTGTGTGTCGATCCTGCCGCTGATTATCATCGAAAGGTCCCGTCATAGCCGGTTGGGACACGGCAGATAATCTTTCAGGTGAATTCGTTTCGACATTTCGTAATGGACTCCGGCCTTTCTCAGAAACCAGCTCATTGAACGCGGTAGGTGACTGTTTGGCAATGCTGCCATCCACCTGACCGGTCACTATGGCCCATGAGTCTGTCGATGGAACGGGGCCTCGTCCCATTGGTTGAACGTTGCGAGTCAAAGGTTCCATGCCTTGGTCCTGGAAATCAAAATTATCACCGTCGGTTGAACGATGTGTAGCATTTCCATTGTGTGAACACTTATTTCTGCGCTTTCTCCATCCAAGAAGTAGCAGGAGAATAATAAGAAGCGCCGCCAAACCCAAAAGGGCTCCGAGTGTCGCGCCAATTATGGTTAGAGTTCGTCTGCCGGAGTCATGGTTATTGTTCGACAGCACATCCGAAGACGTTTCCGAAGATGTTGGAGAAGATGATGCAGTCAACACCACCTGGGTCGACAGATCAAGAGTGCTGGATGGTGTGGGCGTGCTTGTTGACTCGACACTCGTGGTCGTACCGACAAAAAATTTGCTTGTGTCAACCCAGCGATTTCTTGATTGATCGAAAATTACTAGTGAATCTTGTTCGCTTCCCCCGGATATGACAACCAACCCATTTGCATCCTGAGCAAGCGAAAACCCACTACGAGTTGTCGTGGGAGCGAAAGTGTTATCATACGGAGGATACGTGTCAAGAGTAACGTCCCGTTTTTGGTTTTTGATAGCAGGTTTGCTTCTGGCGTTTGAGTTGTCCGCCCCAACTTGTTGACCAGGTGGAGCCGGGGTACCTCCTGGCATTAACATCGCATATTTAGTAACCAAGTTTGGGGAGATACCCATATCAAAGATTTCCAGGATTCTGCTCCCGTCAACACCAAAAACCATCGCACACTGCACACTGGGATCATCAGGCAGTGGATTTGGTAGGGCAGCGCCTGTGTCATGCCACCCTTCTGTAACGCTGAACGCAAATACTTTTGTATTCTGTGGGGAGCCACCGATCATAACTGCCTTATCCTCGCTCCAAGGTAATAACATCGGACGAAAGGCAGGGGGAACGTAAGAATTATAGGACTGCACATTATATGGGGGTGTGACGGAAATCACGAAAGACTGAGTTGAGGGGTTATTGTCTCCGACTTGCGAGCCTGCATATACGAGAAGAGAGGCAGAGGCATTGAGATAAATCGCGGCATGGTCTATACGATTCTGAACATCCTTTGTAACTGGAAAGATGGTTTCCCACTTTCGAGCCGCAAAGGAATACCGCTGGAGTCCAAGGTAGTCTGGAGAACTACTCTTCCCGCCAACAACGTAGAAACCGAGGTTGTTTGGATTGCCATCAACACTTCCCTTTACGCAGGTCGCGCCCTTCACAGGCTCGCCCATTGGAAGCTTCTTCCAACTAGAATTTCGCTTTAGCGGTAGAGACAGAAAAGCCTTGGGAGTATAGACATAGAGCGTATTATCGAAAATGATGGAGCAATGCCCTTCCAGGCGAACAGGGGGCTTTGGGAGCGACATCGCATTCGATGGTCCGTTGAACGACAATTGTAAGAGAAGTAATCCATGTAATCGCAGTGTACACACTGCAAGGAATAGGGATGCAGAGCCAAAAAGGACAGCAAAGCTACCAGAGCTATCGAGAAAAGGGATTGACGATGTTTGGGGTTCGAAACGCGTGGTCTAACGGATTTAATCGATAAGGAAAGGCAAAGGTCATTGCTTTTCTCCTCTGGGTTGCCAGTGGGAGGGAATCAGAAGAGGAACAATATCGGACAGCACCAGACTGCAATTTTTGATGGACGAATGTCACTTTTCTAAATGCTGTCATAAACGACGCCAGCACTGCGAGTTCAGGATATCCGAATTTTCGCAAACGGTTGTTTCGACCTCGAGCAAGAATGAGCTAAGAGAGCGGGATTTGGTATTCGAACGCGACCGATGTTTCCATTCTCAGTCCAGGAGAATCGCAATAGGTGATGGTGCCAAAAACGAAAAAGGCCGCATCAAGGCCTAGGCAGGAGATATTGGAAAGAATGAATACAACGAATGAACGGCAAAGGTTAGAGAAGCACAACTTTGAAGAGGGAAGAGAGCGAGGGGGCGGGAAGGGAGAGACGAATGAGGGCTGATTTCGGGGCTGACAAGGAGCCACCTGCGCTGAAACAACGGCGTGATTGTTTCCACACTAACCCCTTGACATGGTTCCGTTCAACCAGAGGCGGAGCATGCACATCTTAATTATTAATTCCTTTGGCTGGGTTATACTCTATACATCCTCAGGTTTCCCTTTAATGTGGTGTATTCCTCGAGTTGATTAATTTAATTTCAAGAGTTCTGGGGGATAAGTTATGGAGACTTTTGAATTGTTGACTGGAATCAACATTTCAAACCAAGAGACCGCTAACAATTGCATCAAACATGTACCGAGCAGGGAAACAGGATATCTGCGGGAGTATTTCATTCGGAGACCCACGGGAAGAATCGCAATCTAATCTACATCTTCAAATATGGAGCCATTGTTTGAGTATATGGAACCATCATGGCGTGGTTCCGAGACATATTCTGATGCTGCAACACATATGCATACCCTAGAAACGCGACACGCCATGGCTAACAAAAAAGAATATCTCTGATTCTCATCCCTCTTTGACACCCCTGCAACACGCAATTTATCCAAGAGCAGCACACATGCCAACAATAATGGATAGGTATGATAACCCCGGTGGTGTGTACCTTGTTGTACAGAACCCCTCAACGCACAGTTTTAGCCACTACTTACTTTCACTAAGGGGGACCGGGACCGGTTTCGAGATTTATATCTGCTTTGTCCGGTTTTCTTACTTGAAGCCCTCGAAGGGTCGGCATACAACGGATTCCCCAAAACGCTTGGAGGGAATTTTGGATAAGCACACAGTGTAAGCGAGTATGGTTCTTGTTTTATGAGTACCTATGAGATGTTTCCTTGCTCCTGCTTCCATTGGTACGCTTTTTGCAAGAGTTTGGACAGATTTGCTGTGGACTCATCGTCGGCAGGGAAAACGTAGTCCATGTATTCCTCGTAACGATCCTCTTCTAGTTTGCGTCGCTTCTTGACTTTGCGCGGCATTTGCTTCTCAATATTTGTGATATCTGTTGGTGTACCGTGGGTTTGCTCGAAGGATTTCCATGCATTTAGCAATGCCACTCTCTGCAAATACTGAGTTAGGATCAGTTTACAAAAGACCATAAAGCTAGTGGGAAACATACATCTTCTTTTAGATCTTTTTCCTTCATAACCTTATGTGCCCGTTCGAATATCTTCCTAGCCCGGGATTTGGCTTCTTCACTGACGGGCTTCTCTTCATCTTCATCATCTTCGTTTTCAGGAATGTTGATTTCAAACCGCGCGTAATTGATCCAGACTTTGACGTGGTCAGTCTTTTCAAGCAACCGCTCATACAGACTTCGAGTGCGGTCATATTCTCCTTCATATTCCTCGAAATCTATATATGCCTTCCATAATAATTCTGGCATATCCAATGACGGCTGGCTTATCCCGAGCTCGTATATCGCGCGTGCGCGTTCAAGGTCGTCTAATCCCCGTTCTAATTCCGCGAACTTGATCCATGCCTGTGTTTGAGAGGGATTCCACTCGATCTGCTTTTCAAAAAGTGTCCGGCATCGTACAAATTCAAAGAGCTGTCGCTCTAAATCGATATAGCCCCTGAATAGCTTATCTTTTGGACAAGCCCCTAGGGCATGCCCGAGTGTTCTCCTCGCAGCCCGAAGGTCCATTTGCCTGATCTCAAATTGAGCCTTCAATAGCCAAACTTTGGCAAAAGTAAACTTTTTATGAGGAATTAATTTCAAGCATTCCTGATATATTTGACGGGCCCTTCCAAAATCGTGATTTTCCATTTCTTCCCAGAGAGCGTAGAATATCCACAAATAGATATACCGACGCCAGTGACGTTTCTCCTGGGATGGTGGAATTTGAGCTATAGCTCGCTCATAAACATCTCTAACTCGTTCAACATTTCCAGAAGCTTCTTCGAGTCGAATGTAATCAAACCAGGCATCATAGTTTTTGGGATTTTCCTTGACTTGCTCCTCATACTGAACTCTTCTTTTCGAAAGAATCACGTCCTCAACACCTTCCTGGTCACCATATTGTTTTTCAAAGGTGGTGTATGCCTTGTGTAAAACAGCGGATTTTGAACGTGGAAGCCTATCAAGAGCATACTTATATATGGCTCTCGCGCGCTCATGCTCCTTCAATTTCGTTTCATACCGAGCATAGGCGATAAAGAGTCTCTCGTCCATGAAGTCATCACCCAGCGTCTCAATAGCCAGCCCAAATACTTCTCTCACTAGGCCACAGGTTCCATTTTCTTCTTCAAAACGGGCCCACTTGATCCAATTTTTAGGCTCGGGGTGCACGGCTGTGAATCGTTCAAAGATGGCTCGAGCTCGGTCAAATTCATTGTATCGCTTTTCGAGTTTGATGTATGCGCTCCATGCGCCTTCATCAGGTTCCCACGACATCCATCGTTCAAAAACTTGCCGAGCACCCGCAATGTTACCCAACATTTCTTCCATATATACGTATTTGTACCATAGTTTATCCACTCGAGGTAGAATAGTCACCGCGCGGTCGAGAAGGTTTCTTGCATGGTTAATGTTTCGTGACTTCATTTCCGCTTCAATATATCGAATCCATAAAACAACGGACGTGGAATCAACGTCCAATGCTCTCTCAAATATCGACCGGGCCCTGAAAAACTCCTTTTGTTCCAGTTCCCATTGAGCATAGCGCATCCAGTTGTTCATGTTAATCCTGTTTCTTCTCACATAATCTTCAAATTCCCTCCTTTTCCTGTGTTGATATTCATGGAGTTCTTCAAGGTCAGCAAACCGCTGCGTAGGTGCTTGAAGACCTGGTTCCTGGCGGTCAACAGCTTCACGAAGGAGCTGCTCTGCTGAAATCTGCTGCGGCGCTGGGGCCTTATTTTTGACCCGCGGTGGGCCCCGCGACGAGTCCATATTGACCAGATAATTTCAAAAGTTCACCCTCAAATATGTTGAAATTCGCTGAATACCTATTAATCGAGATTCCTGAAGTGCCTGGACAGCTTGACATTCAACAAGTCGTGAGAGTTTGGCTGGTCACTAACTAGCTTATGTAACTGACTACCTAGGCACGAACTAACTAGTTAACTAGTTAACTGCCAAGTATGTAGAAAGTTCACTAGCAACCTAACCCGATACGGAGTAGGTTGTTGCGAAAGAGAGTGTAGTCACATGATCTCCGTTGGATGAGGCGGAAGCTCCAAAAATTGAACCTGCTTTTGGAAATACTAGTCGAAGAACTCATTGCAAGGCCTATCACTTTGTCGAATGATACCATCTTGACATTATGGCAACTTTGGCAGATGAGCTACTAAACGATTTCGAGGAGTCGGACTCGGAAATCGAGGCGAAAGAAGAATGGTTACATGCCGACTCCTCAGAAGCGGCGGGCGAGCCGCCCTTCAAAGGGTCGACGATGGGCATAGAGGACGATGGGGACAAGGAGCTGCATGATAATACTATCATGACAGACACATCAATTGTGAATAATGCCTTGGCTGAAGAAGGAGAAGAGCATGAAGACGCAAAAGCCTCTGTTGAAAAAATGCAATTCACTGGAATTAGTGACGTACGGAGTATTGCACGATTGATGAAAACATTGCAACCTATTTTAGAGGTAAGTATTGAGTTATCCACCCTGTTAGTCTTCTTAAAAACTCACTAGCTCACATATGGCAGCGAGAAGACATGCTAACGATGCCCATTGGACTCCCAGAAAATCTCCTATTACCAGTCCTTACCGTCGGAGCCGCAACCGATGTCTACCGGCTCCATCGAAGATAATCCAGAGTATTATCTTCTTACAGAATCGAATTCCCTCTCCACATCCATCGACAATGAGATTATATTAGTCCATAAATTCATTAGGGATCATTACTCTACCAGGTTTCCAGAGCTTGAAACCCTAATCACCAACCCTTTAGACTACGCAAAGACAGTTGCCATATTGAGGAATGGTCCGCTAAATGATATAAAGTCACTGGCTTCTTCGACAGATAACTTGGTTGGAGCGACTTTGAGATCTGTCCTGGATGGTCCTCTGCTGATGGTAGTAGCGGTGGAAGGAACAACCACGCGGGGAAGGGAGTTGTCTAGCTCAGAGCTTCAAATTGTCCTGGACGCATGTGAGATGATGCTGTCGCTTGACAAAGCCAAATCAGTTCTTACCGACTATGTCCAATCACGGATGAATATTTTTGCCCCGAATCTAACCGCTCTTATTGGCTCTCTTACTGCTGCACAACTCCTCAACTATGCTGGAGGTCTCACTGGCTTAGCCAAGATGCCATCATGCAATATCCCACCGTTAGGTTCGAAGAAGCAGACTCAGGCTGGGTTTGCTACTAACGTTGGAGTTAGACACCAAGGCTTCTTATTCCATTCACCTATTATCCAAGGTATTCCAAATGATTTGAAACGCCAGGCAATGCGGATAGTGTCAGCAAAAGTGGTCCTCGCGGCCCGTGTTGATAGAGTGCATAGCAGTCGAGATGGCTCAACAGGGGAAGAATTAAAGCAGGCTTGTCTTGAACGCCTCGAGAAACTGGCAGAACCGCCTCCGAATAAGGGAACTCGGGCACTACCCGCACCTGACGATAAACCTTCTAGGAAGCGTGGTGGACGCAGAGCGCGGAAAGCAAAAGAAGCCACGGCCATGACGGAGTTGCGGAAAGCTCAGAATCGCTTAGCATTTGGCAAAGAAGAAAAGGAAGTCGGCTACGGTACTGGAGAAGGTACCAAGGGTCTGGGTATGCTTGGTCAGGAGAATTTGGGACGAATTCGCGCCGCCCAAATTGATCAAAGAACCAAAGCCAAACTCAGCAAATCAAATAAAGGATGGGGTGCTACATCAGCGGTGGGCGGAACTGTATCGTCGCTGCGCGGCTTCGGGCAGGGGGCTGGCAATGCATCTGTATTGCGTAGCCAGGGACTACGCACTGCAGGAGTAGGACCGTCTGTGGGGTCAGGAACAGCGAGCACAATTGCTTTCACCCCAGTCCAAGGTTTGGAACTGGTGGACCCGAAGGCACAAGCCGAACTTAACAGAAAGCGCAAGGCTGAAGAAGACAGGTGGTTTAAAAGTGGGACATTCACTCAAGTTGGTAGCCAAAGTTCTGAAAACGGAGGCTTTAAAGTCCCGCAATTACCACCACTTAAAAAAACGAACACTGTCAACAGTAAAATGGCACCACCACCACCACCACTTAAAAGATGAGAATAGTTTGAATATCTTTTCTATGGTTGAAGTTTTGGCATTGTAAGTCAGCGCAGTGAAATCTGTGCAGGTAAAATTAAAACTTTCATATAACTTCATTCTGTTCAAACCACCAAAATGGTCAATGGGGTTTACATCGGTATCTGCTCCCTGACTATGAAGTATACATGATCCCTTAGATATGCCTCACTTTCTGTTTACTACGACCTGAAGTTTTCCTTAGCCATAGTCAAAATATATGTGACTGTGTGTAGGTAATTCTTGCTCTGCATTTACATTTTACAGTAGGATTGATATTAACAAGACACAACAGCACATAATCCGGCAGCTGAAGCTAGCAGGGGGGAATGCTAGGGAAAACTCGAACTCAGATTATAATAACCCTACACGACTGGGGCTCTGGTGAGCAAGAAATTCACTTCCCGCACAATAGCAAATGCTCAGCTGCCCCCCCGATCAAGTAGAAACTGCTGCTATGCCACAAACCATAGCTTCTACCATACAAAGCAGAGTGTATTATTCAGCTGCCGCTAAATTAACTAAGCTTTGTGGCAGCCGGGCAATTCGATGTGCAGCAAAATAAAAGCTTACAGCACCCTCCATGCTTCATTCTCCCCATGGAAAGCAAGGAAATGGAAAGACGAAAAAATAAAATAACGTTGAATCCAATGCGACACCGGCAGGATTCGAACCTGCGCGCCCGAAGGCAATGCCTAGTTGCTGAGTCAAAGGGGTAGCAGGGCATCGCGTTAACCACTCCGCCACAGTGTCCTGATTAGTAATATCCATTATTTATTACTTGTTTATTATATTATCGATAACTATTAACATAATACACAAGCGAGCGAGCATCCAAGCGAGCAGCCAAATCACCGTATTCCAAACTAATTAGATTTTATTCAAATTATCTACACTCAACAACCCCTAATTGAATCAAATTAAATTAAACTAGGATTAGGACATCTTATTCTTGTATGCCCAAGTATATTGTATTAGAGATATTTGAATTTGGTGGCCGACTCGTTTGGGTGGCCGGGTCGTATGTGGGTTACGTTAGATCATTTAGATTACTCCGTAGAACCTGATGTATCCTTTACCCAGGTACGATAATTCAGGCAGGGTAGTGTCTGATCCAAACTCTCCATGGAAGAACTTAGATAAAGGAATTGTGACAAGAAGCAACTTTGATGCTATGAATTGAGGGAATCAAGCTGTTCTCTGTAAACCAGAAAAATCCATGTTGAGAGAGTGGAAAGCCGTAGTTATGTAAAAGAATTTGAAAGCTTCACTGAGCGCCGGAGCACGGAGTCCGCTTCAGCACGGAGTCCGGTGGATTCAGGAGCCAAGCCTGTGCGGAGTACAGAGTATTCCGGAACTCACTTTGTTAACAAGGTAGTGATTTGTATGAACGCTGTATGGACAGGTACTCCGTAACCACTCCGTACATAGTAACTAGTTAGTTAACTAAATACTCTCTGTGCCCCTCCAAACTGAAGAATTCTCCGAATCCCACAACTTTCAAATCTATCCACACACCCCCTCTGCAAACATCCTCACCTTTTGACATATTCGCAACTATCATCTATTTGCTTGCCTCCCCAAGTAGGTTTGCTAATTATTCTGCTTTGACTATATCAAATCATCACGCTCATTTTCCTCCTAACAGAGCTTGCTAGCCTTAACCCCACCAAAGACATTTCATCAATATGGCTGCTCCTGCCCACAAGTTCAAGGTCGCCGACATCGTATGTTCATACAATCCTTGATTTTGGTTTCCTCAAGTTCAGTAAGCTGAATGTTTTCTAGTCGTTGGCTGCCTTTGGGCGCCGCGAAATTGAGCTCGCGGAAATTGAAATGCCTGGTCTTATGGCTATCCGCCGAAAGTATGCTGAGGATCAGCCATTGAAAGGGGCTCGTATCGCTGGCTGTCTTCATATGAGTGAGTCTATATGCAGATAGTGAAGCCACAATTTTCTCCGCGCTGACTCGTGTCCCAAGCTATCCAAACTGCCGTTCTAATTGAAACCCTCAAAGCCCTTGGTGCTGAGGTCACTTGGTCAAGTTGTAACATTTTCTCCACTCAAGATCATGCAGCTGCCGCAATTGCTGCTTCAGGAACCCCAGTGTGCGTTATATTCCCGAGTTTACTTTGGCTGTCGGAGCGAATCTTACCTAACCGGCTGCAGATTCGCCTGGAAGGGAGAGACCGAGGAAGAATACGATTGGTGTATTGAACAACAACTCTTTGCATTTAAGGATGGGAAGAAACTCAACTTGATTCTTGATGATGGCGGTGATTTGACATCGCTAGTGCACAAGAAATACCCTGAGATGCTTAACGACTGCTACGGCTTGTCAGAAGAGACCACAACTGGTGTCCACCACCTCTATCGGATGTTAAAAAACAAAGAACTCCTGGTTCCAGCAATCAATGTGAATGACTCTGTGACAAAGTCAAAGTTCGATAACCTTTACGGTTGCAGAGAATCACTTATCGATGGCATCAAGCGCGCGACCGACGTCATGATTGCGGGTAAGATCGCCGTCGTCGCTGGATTTGGTGATGTTGGCAAGGGATGTGCTCAGGCACTCCACAGCATGGGTGCCCGGGTCATTGTCACCGAAATTGACCCCATCAACGCGTTGCAGGCTGCAGTCGCTGGCTATGAAGTCACAACAATGGAAGAGGCCGCCCCACTGGGCCAAATCTTTGTCACGACCACCGGCTGTCGCGATATTTTGACCGGATCTCACTTTGAAGTGATGAAGAACGATGCAATTGTCTGCAGTAAGTAGATCAAACTAGCCCTATAGATTACATTCTAATCCCTTTAGATATTGGACATTTCGATATTGAAATTGACGTTGCTTGGCTTAAGGCCAATGCCAAATCCGTTCAAAACATTAAACCCCAGGTTGACCGCTTCCTCATGCCTTCTGGTCGACACATCATCCTCCTTGCAGAGGGCAGACTGGTTAATCTCGGCTGTGCCACTGGACATTCTTCTTTCGTGATGTCTTGCTCCTTTTCTAATCAGGTTCTGGCCCAAATCATGCTTTACAAGTCTGAAGATCCCGAGTTTGGCAAGAAGCACGTCGAGTTCGGCGTGACTGGTAAGCGTGAAGTCGGCGTTTACGTGCTTCCAAAAATTCTCGATGAGCAAGTCGCGTTGCTCCACCTTGAACATGTCAACGCCAAGTTGTCAAAACTTACTCCAAAACAGGCAGAATACCTGGGATTAGATATGGAGGGTCCGTTCAAGAGCGAAATGTAAGTTTTCCTACTTTCCTACTAGCCTCGACCCTTGCGAGTAAAGGCGTTTCGTGCTCATTGAGGTCCCACAGCTACCGATATTGATCGCATTGGCTTAACCCGATATCGGCTCAACTATCTCGCACCACGCGAGAATTTTCAACATGAGGCTACGATGTTATGAACCAGAAGGATGGCTCTTCTGTTGGTCATAGATTTGAACTGTCACAAAAAGCGGATTGTCCTTCAACGGCAAAATCATGGGATGTTACGAAGATCATTGGGGGGGGTCGGGGTTCAAGTTCTGGCCGGGGTGTATTGAATCTTGGGCTTTGTTGAAAACCTGTTTCATTATTGATAAAAGCCACATTTCTCAGATGGGTCATTATCCATTGATAATTCATAAATATATTGTGAGCCAAAGCATTCAGGTGTAGTCACTCCGTACACATCTCATAATCCCTGTTTATGTCTGGAGAACAAACATTGCCAGGATTGAACAGCCAAGCAGCTCTTTTTAAACCAAGTACTCTGACGCGAGTAAGATACAGCGAGTGTAGTTAGGTTCTCCCAAGGCTCAACCCTCAAGGATGCGATACACTGCAGGAACATCTCGTCCACTACTTGTAGCTAGATCTGTAGTTCTGAGGTGTATTGTGATCTAAGAGTCCGATTTGACTTCAATTCTCTCCGAGAATAGTGGCTATGCGGTGTTTTTGGCCGAATGTGAGATCTCCGAGTCAGGCATTTTCATACGTTTCAAGTTTCCATCCAGTTCACTTCCCTTTGGCTATTCAAGACTTCTATTCAAAAAGTAATTGGGTACCTTGTGAGGATAAGAGCAGAGCTGTATGTCAGCGAGGAGGTATCACTAGCAGAGAGGCAGAATAGGCGACACATCCACAGAACCAACATCTATTGCTGGGATGCACAAGTCTACAGCGATAATGGAACCATATCTTCTCCCTTGACCTAGACACTGGAGATAACAATTAGCGGGTGTTTTGAAAAGAGGATATACATTGAAATTCAAGGTATTGAAATGGATCATGGAATCAGATCAAGTGTAGGAAAATTTGTCAACCTGCAATTTCACACGCCAGAGCAGGAAATTGTCAGTATTGCAGAATTCTTTTGTTCATCATTGAAGGTAGACTGAAGTACGGAATAGAGCCCCAAAGAACTTACATTGCGTTTGGAAGAAGCTGAAGCTGACGCGAGAATTTACGTAGCCAAACAAATTCATGCCTTCAAAAAGACCAACCTGGATTCGAAATGTTTGTCTGGTCGAACTTGGCTAGGTCACGTGCAAGTTGTTCCGGCGCGTCGGAAGTACCATGGACTGCGTTGCCTGATTCCTGAACCGGGTACGGAGTACGAAGTACTTGTATGTACAGTATATGCGGTGTACATACATACATACATACATACATACTCTGTACGGAGTACTCCGTACTCCATATTGGATCCTAAATTCGCCTGTATAGTGTGTACTCTGTACTATGTTTGCTTTTTGTTTTTACCTTTTTGCTATGGTAATTAATGGATTTCTAAGTATCTGTACGGGGTACCCCGTACTCCGTACAGGTAGACGGCGCTAATCCTGTGTACCTCCCAACATGTGGAGTACAAGGTACTCCGTACGTTGTGTAGATGAAATGCAGTGTTCCCCCCCAGCCAAACCTCTTTAAGGCTGATCGGCAACAAAGCTTGCGCTGGAGCCCGAGTTAATCAACTGTCTGAGCGAACCCACATATTAATACCAGTTAGGAAATAGGTTGGTCAGCAGATACAGATAACTCGCTTCGGAGGACCACATGCGTATTTCCCCAGCAGATCTTCTTTATCTGTTATCAAAGAGTCCGAAATCCCGTCCGTGATGGCTGATTCACCAGGCTCACCTCTTTCTTCGCTTGCGTCAGAAGAGTTTGCCGAAGACCTTCAATTCGAAGATCGAGCTCAATCTCCTTCATCTGCCCAAGTACCACCTTCAAAACGACGCAAGATTGGCCTTGCTACTTGGGACCATCACACCCCCATATCCTCTGCCCATGACGAAATTCCTCCTACCTCTCCTGCGTCGATATCATCCGACAGTTCGGCTGAACTGCCTCAGTCCCCTGAAATATTATCACTGATCGGGGGCGGTATGGATGAAGATTATAGCGGTGTATGCCGAGACCAAGTTACGGTTTGTCAGTGGGATGGCTGTGATGCGAATGACTTGGGTCACATGGACGCCTTGGTAGAGCACATACACAAGAATCATATCATTTCTAGACAGAAAAAGTACTTTTGCGAATGGAAAGATTGTCCACGGAAGGGCCAAACACATGCTAGCGGGTATGCATTGAGAGCCCACATGAGAAGCCACACCAAGGAGAAACCATTCTACTGCACCTTGCCGGGTATGTGCCCTTTCCTTACAACCTAGGCCGGGGAATGTATTTTCTGACAAATTCTAGAATGTGATCGAAGCTTCACACGATCAGATGCTCTTTCGAAGCATATGAGAACCGTTCATGAGACCGAAGCATTGAAGTTGTCTGACACACTCGCAAAACACACCCAAGTTGGACCAGCGGGACCCACTTTGATAAAGCTGCCTCGAATCAAGCTAAAATTATCGCAATCATCCAGAGACGGCTGTTATGGAACGGACAAGAACGGCGGAGAAGACGTTTCCCAGAAAGAACCAGTCCCTTCTGCACTTTTGGACTCTGGGCTCGGCTTCGATGCGCACGAGCTTTCTTTGCCTTTAAGCCAATTGTACCGAGTACTCCGTCGGCAGATTTTCTGGGCTGAACAGGAATCCAAACGTCTACAACTGGAGTGGCAAAGGATCAAAATTCAGAGGAAAGAAACCTGGAGAGAAAAGGAGACCATCTTGGAGGATGTCATTCATGCTGAAGTGAAGCTTTTTAAATCGGCCTTGACTGCTGAGGACTTAGCCCTCGCACGAGGTGTCAGTGATTTCCCGCCGGCAGCACCATAACAGTGCCCAAGTTATTGAAACAGTTGAAACAGTAGAGGATTTGTGAAACTATTTGATCAAGGTTGCTGAACAGACATTACTATAGATTAACTTGTTGATATTGTTGGCTCTATACGGTACAAACCCTTCCTCTACCGTGAAGTCCGACATACGCATTCCGCAGTGATCACTCCGAGCTTTGTATGCCCCTTACAGCTAATCATCAAGGTTGTCTATAGAAATGATACCGTCGCAGAAGTTGTACCTTGACAAGGCCGGGAAATCACATTAGGAGTTCAGAAATACTCTTATGTACTAAAATCCTTATTAGTTTAATGAGAACTTTAATTGGGCCATCTAACAGTGCCGCCGCATTCAACCAATGAATTCGGCCCTTCCAAACTCACAACCAATGCGACAATATGTCGTGGCTGTGCCATGTTAAGCAAAGTGTATTAACTGATCTAGAGTACAGCATGGCAGCAAATATCAAGGCCAGATAATGAATTGTTGTAGGATCGAAGGTAAACTCATCACAAGCAGAAACTCCGGTATCTGATGGTATTTGTTGCACAAAGAAAGATTTGAGAGGGAACAAACAAACAATACATGCCAGAATCTCAACCCAAATGGGCGAGGTCGAAGCCAAAATGGAAAAATAAAAAAGAGACAAATGATCACCATACTCAGGAGAGCGGGATCAATGCCAGGGTCAATGCCAAGGAAAACAAAAATTGGATCACCTAACTCCGAGGAGTGGGATCGCTAACAGGAAAGAAGTGACTTTTTGCGAGGGGATGGTCACCAGGCTCAGTGAGCGGGATCAACTCGCCAACTCGCACAAAAGAGAGAAGAGGTGTGGCTTCAAAAAACATTCCAATTAAAACACACGATCCTGCAAATCCCAGAAAAGTGAAACCCCTTCACCAAATAATCATAGTCGTAGTCGTCATAATGTAGCCCTCGCGGCCTGAAAATGCAATGTCCTGTTCGAACGCCCATCTGCACCAGACTATGCACTAAGCCGAACACGCACCAATGTAAAAGAGGATAATCGGTATGAGATTAGTCCCGTAAGGACACATGGATACTTATGTAGTAGATTTAGGTTGTGGGGCATTTTCGGCAGCAACCATGCGTTTGTAAATGTCAAGAAGAGCACTTCCAGGTGTTGCCTGGTTTGGCCAATAACGAGCCACGTAGTCCCTTTACAATGATGAGCATAAACCTTCTGCATTAGAAGTTGGAATGGACAAACTTACCAAAGGCGCGCTTCCAAGGATTCCCGCGTTTCCTCAGAGTCCAAAGTTTTGTGAATAAATCCGCCAACCGAATGAAGCAAGCGTCGAAGCTCTTTGGCCCGTCGATTCTTGTCCGGGATTCCTTCTTTGGTGCACTGTGAGATCTGCCTTAGGTGATCCCTGATTGGCTTAAAAACCATCTTCAGCATATTTTCGTTATTGGATACGACGCCACTATAATCGTTTCGGCGACCAGAATAAAAATTGGCATTGTGCCGACTACGGATTTTGTCGACCTCGGATATGCCCTTTCGCGTATCGCTTGTTGGCGTGTTTGGCCGATCACTACCGCGGGCCCCGCGAGTATGAACACGATGCCTGAGCGCATCCGATTCTCGACGTTTACGGATCGATGGTGGAGCAGGGGAGGCAGAAACGCTGCCACTATTTTGCTGGCGAGAATAGCCGGGCTTTCTGTTGTTACGATGGTGATTCTCCACCGCCTTCTTCGCTGTAGGGCTGGCACCGTTGCTCATCTTATCTTTAAGAACAGACAATAGGTAGTCGGCACGACGCACTAAATGAACGGCACCAGGAGACTTCATCCCCTCACCATTTCGGGTTAATTCGTTTTTGCGATCCGCTCGGTGTTCCTCCAGAAAGAATTTGTCGGTAAGGCCGAGATCGGGATCGTCGCGGATCTGTGCCCATGCTCCATACCCATGCCGCGCGATTCCAATGCAGAGCATGCCATCCTCCCGTGCCCCCCAGGTGCAGGAGTAATCCGCAGCTTTCGTGGCCTCAGGGACGCGAAAGCTTTTCGGGTCAGACAAACGTGATGTGATTTGTCTCAAAATCCGCATCTCATTGGGGCGTTCCACAATTGTTTCTGCATTTAAACGCTTCACACCTCCATAGTTGAAAAGCACAGCCTTCCTCTCTTTTTTGGTAAAAGTTTTACCCTCGCGCTCTAGCGCACGGATCTCATCATTTGCTTCTTGAAGGTGCCGATTCGCAGACTGAACTATTTCCTTAAGAACTCCGTTCACGACCGATGGATCTCTGTCTAGAAGCTTTGCTTCCCTGAGAATATCTCTCTCGCGATCATTGAAGTCGCCATATCTCAAGTATGCACGAGTAAGGTGACGAATTTCCTTCTCAGTTAGGGGACGTTTGGGGTCTGGCGCTGGGGGCGCATCGGAGTCATCATCGACATCCATATTCACTTGCTGCCGAGCCTTTCGCTTTGCCTGCCTTTCTTCTCTTTCGTCCGCCATTTCTTTTCTTTTCCTCGGCTGGCTGCGTTCAATTTCTTCTGCGAGGTACTTAGCTTCCATTTCTTTCCGTTCCTCGCTTTTAATTCTTTCCAACTCCTCCTTTGGAATAATCTCATCCCAGGTAAGGTCATCTACCTTGACATCTACAAATTCGAATGCTTTAAGGAACTCTTCACCTCCATCAGCTTCCATGCTTTCGGCTTGCTCCGTTTTGTGCTCCTCCGCATTTGCAAGGACAGCATCGATGTCAATTTCTTCTAGTTTCTTTTGATTTCCAGACTGCTCAAACATCCGTTGCCCACGACGCTTCAATATCCGGGATATATCCTCAGAGGAAGTCGGCTCGTTGATATGATGGCCAGCGCGAACCATCTTATCTTTTAATTCTGTGGCCTCCTTATCGGTCACACCTCTTTGGATGGTAATGAATTCAAGAAGTAACTTATTCCTAGCCCTCTCTATGACTTCTTCTTCGACAGTGTCTTTTGATACAAGCCGATAGACGCTAACCGGCTTTGTTTGCCCAATGCGATGAGCTCGCGCCATGGCCTGTAAATCAGCTTGGGGATTCCAGTCTGAATCGAATAGAATGACTGTATCTGCTGTCATGAGATTAATGCCAAGCCCACCCGCACGCGTCGAGAGCAAGAAAGCGAAGTCAGTGCTATCTGGAGCATTAAAGTGTTCAATAGATAAACGACGAGGTCCAGCTGCAATGGTGCCATCCAGCCTCTGATAGGCAAAACCCCGCGCATCCATGTAATCAGCAAGAATATCAAGCATGCGAACCATTTGGCTGAAAATAAGAACGCGATGACCATCATTTTTCAACTTCGCTAGCAGCTGGTCCAGCAGCATCATCTTGCCACTGCTGGTGATCAGTGCCCTTAGTGCATCTTCTCGGCGCGTGCTGCCTTGCAGAATTCGATCTTCTGCGTTGGCGAACATGAACGGATGATTGCTTGCCTTTTTCAACTCCATCATAATATTGAGTAATGATTGTTTTTGGCCCTTCGCGCCTTGATTAAGGGCAGCATAGTTCTTGGTAAGAATGTTTTTATAATACTCCAACTGCACGTCTGAAAGCTCAACCCGAATAATCTTTTCTGACTTTGGCGGCAAGTCACTTTCAACCTTAGACTTGGTCCGGCGAAGCATAAACGGTTGTATCGCTTTGGTCAATTCAGCTAGCTTGACGCTTGCAGCTTCCGAGCTTAAATCCATATTTTCATCAATTTCAATTAGCCCCGGATTTAGAAAGTCCATCAGCGCAGATAGTTCTCCAAGGTTATTTTGAACGGGGGTTCCAGTAATCAGTAACCGGCTCGGAGACTTGAATTCAACTAGCTTTGCGTACAACTGAGAGTCTCTATTTTTTAGACGATGGGCCTCATCAACTGCGAGAAATTGCCACTTGATTTGGCTAAGAAAGGACGCGTCGACCAACACATACTCATAAGTGGTCAAGAGGACATGGAATTTTGGGCGTTTAATGTTTCCATCGACAAGAAGTTCATACTCCTTGATAATATTCCGTGACGCTTCGTTCCCACTGTAAACAACGTAGTTTAAATCGGGTGTCCAATAGTCGAATGTTTCAGCCCACGATGGCATTGTGGAAAGAGGGACAACCACAATAAACGGGCCCTGTTGATTCCTCACATGTCGCAGCCAATTGATAAAAGTTACAGTCTGGACTGTTTTTCCCAACCCCATCTCATCAGCAAGAACTACATTTCGGCCGCGAACCCAGTTGTATGCCATGAAATTAACACCTTTCACCTGGAAGTCCTTCAGTTGACCATTGCAGACGAAGTCAGGAGTTCCATGAATAGGTTCGAATGCAGAACGAGTTGACTGGTTCGATTCCAGTCTGCTTGAAACAGGAGGCCGGGAACACCGGTCAAGGTAACGGTCGATTTCCTGTTGGGCGATACTGCTAACGAGCTCTGCGCCTTCCCAAGTACAACTCTCGTAAAACAGGCGTTTCCATTTAACGTAATACTCGGTTACCCCCGCAACCTTGCGAGAACCAATGACACGCTCGACGAGTTTGAAGTCCTCAATCGCTTCAATATCGCGCTCGCGGTCAAGGTTCCACTTTTCCTTTTCTTCAGGTATCATATCCGGATCTTTCATGAACGAGAGCTCTTGAATTAGCAGCTTTCGGACATAATTATCTAGACGACGGTTACTGCGGCAATCGACAAGGGACTCGTCTGTCTCCCACGTTGCATGGTAGTGCGACTTTCCCTGCCATTTAATATAAAATTCGAAGTCCGAGCGTCCGAGGTCAAGTCGCGTGGGATCCACGTCATCCTTTAAACGATGGTTGAGGACAACATCAATGGCGGGGCGATTATCGTCGAGGACGGTCGCCCAATCGAGTGGGGTCATGTTATCCGATTCGTCTCCGAACAGATCATCATCGTCATCTTCATTGTAGTTTAAAACTTTGTTAGAACGACGCGTGGAAAACCGAACTTCCCCATGTGCTGGTGCTAAGTCAACCTGCGGTTGCACTAGACGGCGGCGTTTAACTTTTTGCCTTCTCTGGGTGTTGCTATAAACGTCGCTTGATGAATCTGCGTCGGAATCTTGAGACTGTGAGGACGATCGTTTTCGGTTTGGCTGAGGACGTCTCCTCTTAATGGGTCTGGAAACCTCAGACTCGGAGTCTGTAGTGCTCTGGATTGTCTGGCGGATAGAACGGGTGCGATTGCTTCGGCGCAATCCATATAAGCTTGGGTTGTTTCGAATAAAGTCACTCTCATCGATGGGCGACTTGCGCTTAACACCTCGCTTCGATTCGTGGCCCGACATGCCCGAGGAACTGGATACCGCATCTACTGCCTCTGAAGAATCTTCCATGTGGGAGTCACCATCCGCCTCCATGGGTGTGGCGATTCCCCTGGGAGACTTAGTGGCCTCATATTCAGAGGAGGTGGAGCTCATTCCGATATGCACCCCATCAGTAGTACCCGTTGGTGTTGTTGCTTGAGGGTGCTCAGAATCCGCATCCCGCTTCAAGTTGGTCGCAGTATTAGGGACGGATTCGACACCGTTGCCCTGGTTCGCCGGTATAGTCGCCTTTTCCAGACTACCCAATGTGCTTTGATTGGCTATACTTGCTTCAATTGGTGCGGGAGAGGAAGTTGCAGTGCTCGGGATCACCATGGCGGTGGCTAGGACAGTAAGATTAGCATTGTAGCAGCAACGCCGATATAGAGGCATTGCAAAGGGCGAATATTGATAGTAAGAGGGCTCGCGACTCTGACTCTAAAGTGTTGGAGAATACACAAGCTAAGAGGGCAGGGTGCAGCAAAGCTCAATGAAATCTGATGCTGTGCTTCAAGGTTTTGATGAAATGGATTCAAGTCGAGAACACGGCGACAGGATCACTTGACAGGAAAAAGGGCCATAACTAGTAGGCAAATGTATAAGAACAGGGGGCAATTCCCATCTTAGCGCCAGGGATATCGCGATATGCGTTTAAGCAACTTCGGAATGGTAGAATATCTCGTGGAAGGTAGCGAAGAAATGCGGGTTTGTGGAGAGCATGGAAAGCTGTAAAGATAAAAACAAAGCGGAAAAGAGAATAATCAACTTACGATCCATGGCTTGGACCCGCCCAAGTCGAGAAATATGTGCTTCCAATATTACCAACTATGGCGACGCGTTGTGTTTGAAAATGTATTGGTAGACAAGGAAGCTTTGGAGGGATGGACTGAGAGTTTGAGGGAGAGAGAGAATAGAGTGGATGGTTGGAGAGAGAGTCTCGCCAGTGGTGAGAAGAGAGAAACCGAAAATGGCTTAGGCTGGTGAAGGAGGAATCCGCTAATCCTATAATGGGTTGGTGTCGAAGAGGCCTATGTTGCTGGTGTCTTGTACGGAATTGTCCGTGCTACTCATATGAATGCGGTTATACTCCGTACTGTATGTGTATAGCGCAGCAACCCATGTACAGAGTACTCCGTAACATGAGTAACTCCATACTCCCGAGAGCGAAGATCTTTACTCAGCAAGAAGCAAATTCTGCATCATTTCAGGAAATCATATCTCTGAGGCGTGCTATCGAAGATAAGCATCATTTATTATGGAGTAATATATGCCCTCTCCCTACTTCTAACTTGTTGTCTCCGTAGTTACTCCGTAAAAGAAGACTTTATCGACTCCTCCGTATGGGGTGTTGGTATTTCACTCTCGAATTTGCTGCCCAGACAAACAGACGTATTACTCCTGTAAAAGAATACCGTGTACAGTGTACGGAATATTATGTCCTGGGATATCTTAAACGGAGGGGTCAGCCTTGTGACATAAGCATGGCTCTTCCGCCACTTCATCCCACAAAATTTCCGTTCGGCGCCCTCTTTGAAATTTGCCTGTTTTGTTTGATTTCGATCTCATCCGCCGCCTTTCCTTCTAAGAGCATGATAGATGCCGATTAAGTACAAAACCAATACATGCGATCGATAGTATCAAGAGATAAGAAGCTTTCAAACCTCCATTGAACGGAAATCAGTCTCTATCTCAAACCGATCCTCCTGCGGGGAATATCTTCAACAAAGCACACTCGAACCCCAGAGCCAGAACAATCCAAGCCGAAAGGACGCTCCTTTATCATGTCAGATAAGTTGACTCGGTATGACTTGGCTTTCTAGCTTTGCCTTTGTGAAATGATGCTAATGCCATTCGCCATTCCAGAATTGCGATTGTCAATAGTGACAAAGTATACCCCGCATCCATGCCCCCCTTTATCCCAGCTTTCGATCCAATATCCTCATACCCTTACCGTTCTCTAATTCATGTTGCTGATTGCCAGTCTCCATATTTAACAGTGCAAACCAAAGGTGAGTCTAAGTTGCATTTCGAGGTTTCAATTGATACCGCCAACGCTTGTTGTGATATGTTTCTAAACCTGGTTTTTTAGAAATGCCGCCAGGAGTGCAAAAAGTCCTGCCCTGTTGTGAGGACAGGGAAATTGTGCATTGAAGTTACACCAGAATCGAAAATTGCTTTCATATCGGAGAGGCTATGCATAGGATGCGGTATCTGTCCAAAAAAATGTCCCTTCGGTGCCATCCACATTATCAATCTCCCCACAAACCTTGAGACTCAGGTAACGCACCGCTATTCAGCCAACAGCTTTAAGCTTCACCGGTTACCTATGCCACGCCCCGGGCAAGTCCTTGGTTTAGTCGGAACAAATGGTATTGGGAAAAGCACTGCACTTAAGATTCTTAGTGGGAAGCTGAAACCCAACCTTGGCCGGTACGACAATCCTCCTGATTGGGAGGAAATTTTGAAATATTTCCGTGGTTCAGAACTACAGAGTAGGAACAAACTTTGCTGCTCGTCTTTTTGTTTGTTCTGACTGCGAGTTCTAGATTACTTTACAAAGGTCCTTGAAGATGATCTTAAAGCTGTCGTGAAGCCCCAATATGTTGACCAAATCCCTAAAGCCGTTAAAGGACCTGTAAGATCTGTAGCCCCTCTAATCAAGGCGCGGTCTCAAATGGATAATATGGAACACATTATGGAAGTTTTAGGTATGCACCATCATTATACCACCATTTCCATTTACTAACCTTTAACCCCCGCAGAACTTAACCAGGTTAAAGACCGTGATATTAGTTTATTATCCGGTGGAGAACTACAGCGTTTTGCAATTGCCCTTGTGTGTGTTCAGCAAGCAGATGTGTAGGTCTTAGGTCCAGACGGTCGGCGCTGATGACATGCTAAATTTGAAATCCAGTTACATGTTCGACGAGCCGTCCTCATACTTGGATGTGAAACAGCGTCTAAGCGCGGCTCGGACCATCCGAGAATTGTTACGACCCGATGACTATGTCATTGTCGTGGAACACGATTTGTCGGTCCTTGATTACCTGTCCGATTTTATCTGCGTTCTTTACGGCCGCCCAGCCGTTTATGGCGTTGTAACGTTGCCTGCATCGGTCCGCGAGGGTATAAACATCTTCTTGGATGGGCATATCCCCACTGAAAATCTTCGCTTTCGAGAGGAATCTTTGACCTTTCGAATTGCGGAAGCTGGTGATGATTTCATTGTCGATCAAGGCAGGGCTTTTAGTTATCCCGCGATGGAGAAAAGTCTCGGCTCTTTTCATCTCAGCATCGAAGCTGGCAGATTTACGAATTCTGAAATTGTCGTCATGATGGGAGAAAATGGAACAGGTAAAACCACATTTTGCAAAATGTTAGCTGGAGTGGAGAAACCCGACGGTGGCAAGGCTGTTCCCGCAATGAATATTAGTATGAAGCCTCAGAAAATCACGCCCAAGTTTCAAGGAACCGTTCGCCAATTATTTTTTAAACGCATCAAGGCGGCGTTCCTCTCTCCCCAGTTCCAGACAGACGTTTATAAGCCTCTCAAAATCGATGATTTTATCGATCAGGAGGTCCAAAATCTCTCTGGTGGAGAACTTCAGCGAGTTGCTATCGTTTTGGCCTTGGGAATACCCGCGGATATCTATCTGATTGACGAGCCAAGTGCGTATCTCGACTCGGAGCAACGTATTGTTGCAGCTCGCGTCATCAAGCGCTTCATTATGCATACCAAGAAGACCGCATTTATTGTCGAACACGATTTCATTATGGCTACTTATCTTGCTGATCGAGTTATTGTTTTCGACGGGAAACCATCAATAGATGCAAGAGCAAATAAGCCTGAATCACTCCTAACAGGTTGCAACAGGTTCTTAAAGAACCTGGATGTGACTTTCCGGCGTGATCCTAACAGCTATCGGCCAAGAATCAATAAAGACAAGAGCCAGCTGGATCAGGAACAAAAGTTGAGCGGAAATTATGTGAGTCATCAGGTTGTCTCTACGCTTTTCCCGCTAACATTTGTGTAGTTCTTCCTCGAAGAGGAGAGTTAACATGAGGGACACCGCAGAATTTAGTGGAGCTGGGAGCCAAATAACTACACGAAAATCACCAAATGTTCCGTGCCAGAAATCCTTGACTGACATATGCTTTTTGAGATTGAAGCAACTCTGCTACTTTGTCAGCTACTTGGTGCTAAAATAGATATCCGGACAGCCTTATCTGGTCTTCAAGGTTGTACAATGACACATATGACCTGCAGACTATGAAATACGGTCGCCATTGTGTTTCTCGATCATTTTGAACAATGACTGTGACCACTAGAAAAAAGTGTTTCTAGAAAGATGACTACAGTTTACGATGTCTAAGATTGGGTTCTGCTTCAAACATTTCATTCTATCAAGTTGATAGGGCAGCTTTTCTTACTTCTCCCTGCCTGCTTCTTGTTCATCACTTATTAGCAGTGTTCACGTAAATTATATCAGAGGTAGGCATCAACAAGGTTATGGAAACTTACTGAGAACCCACCAATTAATAGAAATCAATAAAATCCTGAGATACCACAGTATATTTTCTGCTCGGGCTGACACCACTACATACATAATAAAGGTATTGAGAGTACAATTAGTCGTTGAGTTGCAATAGAAGCTTTGGGGGGAGAGCATATAGTCTAATTTCCTTCCCTCCGCTAACTAACCCATCACTCAATCCTCTTCAATTTCACCTTCTTCGCTACCTGAATGCACAGCCGCAGTTTCCTTGTGAGCTGATGGTCCAGAAGATGCTTTATCAGAGTCATCCTTGCGTGGGCTTCTAGCGGGTAGTCTTTCTCGGTCCTTTTCTCTCCTAAACCGGTCGGCATCCCTGACATCTCGCCTATACCGCTTTGCATCGCGACTTCCCACGCTTTCGGTTTCACTATCACGGCGTCGCCGTCGCTCGCTGAGTACTTGGCCCGGTGCACCACGGGTGATGTCTCCAACGCCGTAGTCAAGCTCATCGCGACTACTCCTTGGATCCGCCCGACTTGGATATAGTCTTTCGCGTTCTTCGTCCCAATCTCGGCGATCACGATCATAATGACTAACGAGCCGACTGCTCACCCTGTCCCAATCCCTCTCTCTCTCTCTCTCTCGCCCCCGATCTCTGTCCCTATCACGATGCGACACGGGAGACGGTGAGAGCCCGCTGGCTTTCCGATAAGATCTCTCACGATCCGCCTGTGCCTTGCGGCGGTCAGCCTCATAGGCATCCGGTTCCGGAGTACGGCTCAAGCGGCTTGAAGTGCCCCTCTTCTCAGTTCGATAAGACTGGGTACTGCGATGGCTCCGTTCCCCGCGATCTAAACGATCGAAACGATCATAGTACTCCCGTTTCGCCACCCGGTCACGATCTCTCTCGGCATCCTCTTCTTTTTCTTTAAGACGGCGAACAACCTTTTCAAAGGCCAAGATTCGCAATTCATCGGATTCAACGGCACGATACTCCTCTGTCTTGTCTATTCTTTGCTTCACTTGCTCCCAAGTATCAGATGCATGAACGGGAGGATCCAGACGCCTGATCCTTGATCGCAATGCATCAACGGCACGACGTTGGTGGCGATTTGCAGCATGCTTTTCATCTTCCGTTCTGCGAAGTACCTTGTCGCGAAGACGATGAAATATAAGGTTAAGGGTTTCATGATCAATCCTGTCTGTTCGACGGTCGGTCAACATTATGGAAGCAAACTCTTCAAAGGTTGTTTTGAGAGTCAGTTCGTAGCGTTTATCCTATATTAATCGTCAAAGGCCATCCAAAAAGAACAAACGGCTTACTCACATCCAAAACATCAAGGATATCGTTTCGTGGACCTCTTAAGGACCTTTCCTCCTCTTCTACTATGTCCCAAAACAAATCCAACGGAGTAGAGCCGGGCTGGCCAAGCATAGACGTGTATCGTACATCCTCTTGTATAAAAGGGAAGATATCCATCCACTTGCTTCCAGCCTTGATTTTCCCTTGATGTCTGAGATCTTGTAACAGGCCCACGAACTTATCCCTATTTTGCCGCTCCCTCCTACTTCTGTTGGCTTTGAGCTGTTGTTTGGCGTCATTGAATGTCCTTTCCAGTGATTTAATATGATTTTCAAACGCCGTAAGAATATCCGATTGCGTCAAAGTTCGGAATTGCGTTTCACTTTGGACTCTTTCGTTTGACCGGATAAGCTCCTGGGCCTCGGACCAACGTGTGTATGGTTCTAAATCCAAGACACGGAGAATCTCGGCAAGATCTTCTTTTGCAGTCTTCCGCATCTTGGCCTCCATCTCGGAATGATTTCTTTTAAGCTCAAGAATATACTCTTCGTAGAACTGTCGCCGCTCAATCTCATCGCTCGTCGATCTGAATATAGTTTCACTTTGAATGATTGGGCGTATGGTCTTCCATCGGCTGAAATGAGTGATTTCCGGATGTCTCCGCAACATAGTACCAAAATCCATCCTCAATTTGGTCAATCTCTCTTTTGCACGGTCCTTTTCTTGTGCCAGAACCTCTGCTACATACTTCTCATATGCGGCCTTCCTATCACGTGGGTCCTTTAGAGCACGGTATTGAGGATCTTTAATCACTGCGCGTATTGCTTGCTCCCAGGACCAATCCGCTTGTACACCGTGCCGCTTGAGAAGCTTCATGAAAGCGGCCTCAGCATCCTCAAACGCAGGGTAATCTGGTTCCGCTGGCTGGGCTCCGACGACAGCCCCATTCGCATCAGATGCACCGTACATAGCTCGGCGATCGCCATGATTCCGTTCATGATCCACACGCTCACGTTGCGACGGATATGTAGGCACATTAATTATTCCGCCAGCGACAAAACCAGAAGGCCTGAAACCATTAGAAGGATCCAAAATTGATTTCAAGGCAAAGTACCTACCCCAGTGGCTGCCTTGGCGACGAATCCTGTGCTTGCGCAAGCGCAGTCTTGTATATATCGGGCATCTCCCAAGAGCTTTTTTTGGTCTCAGTATTATACCAATACTTTCGTCCGCCTTCAGCAGTGTACTCTTTCCACGGCTGATTTGCCAAAGCGCGCTGGAACCGTCTCTTAGCAAGATCCGAAACGAAAATGGAATTTCTCTAACGTGGGACATACCTCCGAAGGAGTCATAAGCTCAAATGGTTTTGCCCATTGTGTCGCCTTCGTTTGCACATTATAGTAATAGACTCGGCCCTCCGAGTTGCGGGCTTCCTGCCACAGCAATGGAGCGGTGGAACCCATGTTAGAGCTCATGGTGTCCATGAGATTGAGTTGAAAAGACTTTCTCCTCTGGAAGGTGGCTATAGGGTAATGCGACACTGTTGCTCCCTCGAGAACGGAGTGGGAATGTGGAATTGACAATTATAATCTGCCTTACGGTATGGTAATGTATGGTATTTTGTATATATGTACGGAGTACGGAGTACTCCGTACGTGTAATTCTATATGAAACTTGTACTCCGTACTCCGTAGTGAAAATAGATTAGTTAGTTAGTTATTTTACTTGCATCCTTTGCTATCTAGATCAACAGAGTAAAAAAAGGCAAAAGAATCTTTAAAAAGAAGCAAACAAAAGAGCATTCTGTATGAGAAAAAGCAAAATTACAAATTCAGTCATATTACATCTATACCTAGCTTTGAGTTAGCAACCAGAAGAGGCAAGGCCGAGTTCGTCAGCGGGAAACCAATATATAATGGTTCAACTACTCCGTACGGAGTGCGGTATTACACGGTCATACCTTAATGATATGCCTGCAAATTTTGTAACTCCGTAGGGGGTGACTGCGCTAGCTAGTTAGCTAATTCCAATCCGCCCTGGTGACCCAGCAGCAAAACAATTTGACCACTCGACACAAAGGAAGGCACACCAAACGAGATCATGAGTGCTGATAACTTTTTAAAAAATGCAACAATCAGCACAATCATCCCTTGCGCATCAGAAGTCAATCTCAAAAATGAATTGGATCTCTTGTTGAGTGATGGAATCTACACAACCCCCTTATCATATATCCAGCAACGAGACTTGCTAATCTTTGGTGAGCATCAGAAACTTTTAGCACGAATGACCTTGTCCATGCTTATCAGAGACCAATAGATGAGATTCTGACTGTGTATATTGTCCTTCAGTTGGTGAATTGCACAGACGATAGCTTGAAGGCGCATCTACCAAATGTGTTAGTGCATTTGGATGTTTTTGCTGCAAATACTGCCATTTCGAAGACCAAAGTTGAAGATTTTCCCACAAAAGAGCTCATATTTTCTGGTTTTGTAAAAGATTTCAAGGATTCTCTTGTTATACATAATGCAGGGGATGATGGAAAGGAACCCCATAATCAAGTATATGTTTTATGGACCATAGATGTCTATTTGCGTAAGTCGCAGGACAGCACGCTTGTATCACTTCTAACAGAACTCAGGTCGTCCACGTACTCGCCATCAACAGCCTTCTGTAATTTTTCAGGCATCCGCAGCATTAAGTTCTTCGACACGACTGCATGGCACTGGACAGGATGATTTCTTACCGAGTCTCACTGCGGGTTCCTTGAATATCTTTCAACCTTTAGTTGGCCCTGCTTCGGACAATTCTTCGGAGATGTATCTTCCGGCATCAAGGCTTTTACATGTGGCCCCTGTGAAAACCGAGGAGCGAGTCTACAATATATCAGAGTCATCCCATAACCCCATTCGCATTGTTCCTGTGGCGAGCGCCAAAATTCGCTATTCTCGGCTGAATACATATTGCAACCGCCCCGTGGCAATAGCAAGCCTTGACTTCGAAATGACTCCATTCGCAAAACTCGAAACGAGCTTAGAATCAATAGATTTGTCATTGTCGAGTGGCATTGTGGAGAACATGGGTGCATCCGCAGGGCTTGACCTGCCGATACTCTGTCGCTCCCGGGATGATCTTACATTTGTTTTTAAGCTGACTCCTAATCAGACCGAGTGCTATAATGCTTCGACAACCGCCATCCATTCTGTTCTGGACATCCATATCCGGGCTGTGGTTCTAATTTCAGAAAACTGTCAGCCGAAAATTTCGATGCGCTGGAAAGCCAGCATAGACTTTTCGTTGCCTCTTAACCCTATATTCGGGGGTCCTAGTCAAGTATTACAACGGAACTGTCGGCCTGCCAGTCTTTCAATGGCTCCTAGCGAAGCCACTCTCTCTGGAGATAGAACAACACAATGTGCCATTGGGCTTGGTGTTTATGTGTCTCTATCAACCCCAACGAGCATTGAGGTTGCCCAAGGGTTTGACTGGGAGGTTTTTGTGGTTAACCCTTCCAACCGAGTAAGAAAATTTGCGATAATTGTGATCCCAATGCGTAATAGTCTTCATCGCCAGCGGTTTACTTCACGACAATCATCCTCTGCGCAATCGTTGCATGCATTGGAGGTTGCACATGCAGCTGTTGATGAAAGCTTCACATTTTCTATGGTCAAAACCTCGGTGACCTCGTATGAAACGGAGCTGATATGTCTAAATCCTGACCTCAAGTTAAGGTGAGTGTGTATTAGAAACCTCAGCTCACAACCTGTCGCTAATTTTTTGAGTTTAGCCCTCTATTTCCCGGGTCATGTTATGCAGCTCTGTTGCCAATGCTACCACTTTCCTCAGGTCTACTGAATATTGCGGCTGTCAAGATTGTGGACCTAGAAACAAATGAGTCAATGGAAATTAGGGATCCACCGGACCTTACAGCTTCCTTAGCACCTAATTTTTGAGCTGATCCCCCGGTTTGGGACATCTCTATTAGCACAGTGGGACACCTATAGCCCCTGTTAGAATTTATATTAAAAGAGTGCTATATACGAGCTAATTGATGCATTCAAGAAGCTTTCCAGCGGTTCCATTTCCGTAGTCTCAAGTGTCTTATTACGCTGATTACACATTTTTGTATGAATACATGAAGCACTGTCATTGTAAAAGTTATCGACCTTTAGCATCAAGTATAGCGATGTTTTCAAATTTTACAGTGTAGTTGAACAGGGAGTCAAGTAATCATAAGAACAACACCACCATACTTATAAAGTGGTAAGAGAGGCTGCTCCTGTTCCCAATAGTTTTCGGTCCTTCCCTGTCTGCTCAAGTTACTCTTCCTCGGCAGAATTTGTGAGAGATAAATATGCGGTCCATGCGATGCCAACAGAGGAAACAAATGGCTACGTTACTGTCAGCTCCGATCTTCTGAGACAGAGAAGCAAAAGGCGAATCGACTTACTATTTGGAATTGAATAGGCATTATTCGAAAATTCAAGATTTGGACAAGTGGCCACAACATGAAATTGGCTTTCAGAGTTGGTATGTAAACATCCTGAAATTTACGAGCAACTGCACGCCGGCCACCTCCTTCCGCAATAGTCATAAATGTGAAAAAACAAACAAGGCCTTGACTATGTCAGTAAAAAGCATAGTTTCTAGGTTTGCTTTTGTGGTTCATACCAATCGGAGCAAATATGAGTTGGTCCATTGCCACACGTTTCAATGCAGGGAGAGTTGCATGCCTCTTGGTAATTGGGAAAGCTCGCGAGAGAAAGCCAAACCATTGGAATTGGATGGGAGCCATAAAAAAACCATATGCCATAAATCGTGTCAGCCGTTCGAAATCGAAGGGAGTAGGTCCTCTCTTGGACAGCCCAGATCCAGCTGCTCTTGGGCGCTTTGCCTTGTGAAATTCGGCTATCTCGATCGACATGAAATCATTTTCGGAACTCCTTGTGTCATGATTCAACTTGGCTCGCGAACGAATTGCTGTAATAGACTGGGCAACTGTATCCGCGATTCCACCAAGAACCTAACCTCAGTAAGTTTTAGCTGATACATAGGTAAGAATGGGATTCCTTTGCAGGAGCATGAAAGGGCTCTTACAGCATTGGTCACCATTGTTGTCAGGACTAATCAACAGCGCATATCAGTACTTGATAAGCCGCGTCTTGCGAACAGTGATAACAGCTTACCCGGTCTCTCAGCATAGTATGAGTTGAATTTTGCAGCTAGCCGCATTGTGATTACCATTTCCAGTACAAATAACAACGCATGCAGGAGCGGCTTCAGATTCAACATCAGCTTTTCTCCCATTACAATCCAATATGTGGTGATTAAAAGAACTAATTAACTCACAACATAGCCATATATGTATCTCCTGTTCAAGTTATCTAGGAGTTTGAGTCTTCCTGTGCTGACCATGATGAAGGACACCCACTGTCGCTCAAGGGGTGCAAATGGAGGGCGAAGTCAGGCTTTGGGGAATGTGGAGACTCAAAATTGCTATGACGCAAAGAGGAGGTTGATTCAAGGCTGGGTTGTTAGCCAGTCAAGCCAAAAACAAAAAAAAATTGGGCTAACCAACCAACTGCCCGTGGCCATGCCAAGACTTCCCCTGAAGCGGTTACCTTGTACGGAGTACGAGTATTGAGGAAACGCAACTGTGTTACTGAATTTTAATCTGATTTCCAGTGGCAGAATTTAGAGATCGTCAGATTAGAGCTCAAGTAAAGAGTAGATACATGTTATAATATCATGTGTACCCTGTATTTGAGTGTGATCGTGACCGGAGAATTTGAATCCGGCAGCTTTTCTGATGGAGGACTTCGGTAAAACCTCGATATAACAAACACTCTATAAATTCCTCTACGGAGATACGGAGTACATCAATTTTATATGCTTGCTCTTCCACATAAACAGCTATAACCTGATAGAGAACTTGTATGCTTGTCATTCACCAAGCTACCTAAAGAGGGATTTTGTTTAACCTAGGTTCGTCACATGAGCAATGTGCTAGTTAGCTGGATTACCAACATTTTCACTTCTGATGCATTATAAGGCTATTTTCACAGCTCTGGATTTTTTCATAGAAATCCATATATGCTATTCCATCCAGTTCACAGAGCAGTATTAGCATAAGATATAAATTTCTGGCGATTGTTGATTGAAATATTATACAACTGGTTGGCACTTGAATTTCTGTTGTCCATTCTTGGTGTCACTTGTGCTTGCCAAGATAGTTATCATGTGATGGTTGCCTGTTGCCCGGAGCAGTTCGACAAGCTTAATCAACATTCTGGGTATTTCCAATCAGTTGCCTCGTTCTTCTATTTCTGAGAAGGCACCAAAAGGGCTCAAAACTCGGCTTCATTATGTCAAGCCAGCCCACTACTCTTCAGTCCCAGACTGGCATTCAACGTCACGGCGAGATTTCATCCCAAGCCCAGAAGCCAACAACTGCTCTGGAAGAAGATGATGAGTTCGAGGATTTTCCTGTTGAAGGTAAATTGCTGTTGCAGATCGTTAAACTCCTATGACCTTTGGTTAGTCTTGTTGACAGGCTAATTTCCGTTTCTTCTAGATTGGCCCCAAGAAGATGCCGAGGCACTTGGCCCAGCGGGAACAAACAATGATCATCTGTGGGAGGAAAGCTGGGATGACGATGATAGCAATGAGGAATTCTCTAGACAATTGAAGTGAGTGTTGCTTGAACAAATGAGAAAAGCCCAGCACTGTAACAGAAATCTTTCCAGTCTGAAACTAACAAGTTTTTAATCCAGGGAAGAATTGAAGAAAGTGGAAGCCATGAAACAGCAATGAGAAATACATAGCCAGTCAATGCGATTCGCGGGAGTGGATATGCCTATGTAGCACTCTGTATACCTTGGAGACAATGCGCTTCGACATGAAGTCAAAGGGACTAAAAGGCCTAAAGCTGGGTTTCAAACATGGAAAATAACCCCTCTACTAAGAATATTTTTTAACTGTGCCGACATCTTCCACGTCATAGCTTCACATAATTTGGAAGGACAAATGTGAGATCTATTTGAGAGATAGATTTGCAATATTCTCCTGCGTGTTTCATAACACAAGAGTCCACAAGAGTCACTGCATGGCATGTAACAAACACCCATCATTTTGTGTTATCCATGGAGTTCTCACCCGAAAAATTTGATAATAAGAAATTAAGAAGTCAAACGGATTTCTGTACAGAACTGCGAATATTCGGCAAGCCTAAAGTCTGGTCTTCAGTCATTCTGTTTCGGCCACGAAGTCCCGAATCATTTCCTTTGGGACATGAAACTCAGAGACTTTAGAAGCTAGAAAATAAGCAAACTCATTTATTTGACAGAGCAGAAACCCCAGGCAGTTCTTTGCCTTCGAGAAGTTCCAACGATGCTCCTCCGCCAGTTGAGACATGACTTAATTTGTTTTCAACACCGTACTTCGCTGCGACGGTGGCGGTATCTCCACCACCAATGATGACTACTTTACCCTCTTGCGCGCTAGCCACAGCAGCATCGAGTGTCTTTTTGGTCGCATTGGCGAACGAGTCCATTTCGAATACACCAGGAGGACCGTTCCAAAGAATGGTCTTGGCTTCATTGATCGCCGCTTTGAATAGCTCCACACTCTTTTCACCGCAATCGAGACCCATCCATCCTTCCGGAATACCATCGGCATCAGTGGCATAGCCAACCTTAGCATCAGCAGCAAACTTATCGCCAGTGACAAAGTCCACAGGGAGGACAACCTCCACGTTGTTTTGCTTCGCCTTCTCCATGATCTGGTTAACAGTCTTACTGCCAGGCTCATCAAATAGACTGTTCCCAATCTTCATGTTGTCGAGAACCTTTTTGAAGGTAAATGCCATCCCGCCGCAAATGATAAGGCTGTTTACTTTGCTGAGGAGGTTGTCGATCAATTGGATTTTGTCCGAAACTTTAGCGCCTCCAAGAATTGCCAAGAAGGGACGCTGTGGATTTTCCAGGACTTTCGCGAAATATTCAAGTTCCTTCTTGACCAGAAAACCTGACGCTTTTTCTGGTAGGTTGATTCCAACCATAGAACTATGTGCTCGGTGGGCTGTCCCGAAAGCATCGTCTGGATTTTCAACGGTTTAGCTCACTAAGCTTTTCCCTCTGCATGTGGGTGTACCTACTGATGTACACGTCTCCCAATGCAGTCAATGCCTTGCGAAACTCTTCGACTTTATTTTTATCAGCCTTAACCTTTTTCCCTTCTTGATCTTTGTAGCTCCCTTCCTCTTCCGGATGAAAGCGGAGGTTTTCCAGTAGGATAACTTGTCCGTTATTTGCACTGGAAACGGTTTCTTCAACTTCCCTGCCGACGCACTCATGTACAAATTTGACTGGGGTGCCAAGGAGCTTTTCCAACTCAGGTGCAACTGGTGCCAGACTATATTTGTCATTCGGTCTTCCATCCGGTCGACCAAGGTGAGACATCAAAATGATAGATTTGGCCCCATGGTTAATGGCATATTTGATGGTGGGCAATGCGCCGACAATCCGTTGGTTATTTGTGATATTGTTGTGCGAGTCCAATGGCACATTGAAATCAACCTAAGTTACAAATGCTGTTAGATAATTGGTGATGGTACTGTTTATGAACAGCCGTTAGCAGAGGTTGTACGCACTCGAATCAGAACACGCTTTCCGTGAAGGTCAATGTCAGTGATGGCCAATTTGTTTGACAAGGACATTTTTGTGGAATCTGGGCACTCTTTTGCTAGGTATTACAGCAAATATAACCTCGATTGGGGTTCTCAGAATTGGAAGTGGAAGAAACCGCGTTTCCTGAAGTTATGGGTCCTTTAGTGTTTAAATATCCATCAGCCTTTTTCAATTACCAAGTACGGAGTACATTGACCAGGAAATCCTGGAAGTGGGGTGATGGCGGGGTTGAATGGTTGCTTGCTATACGGAGTACGGAGCATCCGTAAGGTTATCTTTGGCCTCGCTGGATTATTGTCGGGCCGAATACTCACATGACTTGTATTGCTCTTCTCAAAGAATGAGTGCCCAAAAACGATTAACATCGCCCGAGTTAACTCAGTCTCAGGCTCGGGCTTTTGATGCATATGGAGGAACTATCGCAAAGTGAAATTGCTATCATCACAAAATACCCCTTGAGCGAATCGCTAAGTCGTGTGTGCATCATATCTGGAAATCTGGAAATTTTCACTAAGCCCTCTTCTTCCAGGTTTGTTGGCACAAAAGAGAAGGCTGCCACCATCTGTTGTCTCTCCTTCCCTTTCTGGCAGGTAAGCGCCAGGCCACAGAGTGAGGCATGCAGCTCGACCTCATCCAAGGCCACTCACTCTTGTCATGAGACCAAAAATGCCTTTGAGTTGCTCTGACTTACATTGCTGCCTGGCCACTGGGATTTTACCTACTGGAATTTTGCCCTTGCATTGGCTGCCCCATTTTCCAAGCCGGGCGAGCTGACTTACAAACACAGCAAACACGTCAAACAGGATCTCCTAAATCAAACGGGCAACCACTTGCCCTCTGTCCTGCTGAGGGCATCTGTCCATAATCACGCTTCCGCAGGAAAGAAAAGATAACAGGAAGAGACAAGAGATGGAGCTGGATGATGTCAGGCCAGCTGAAGTTATCTTCAAGAAAAGGCTTTTTGCCTCCGAGTTCTCCGACATATTCCTCACTGTTGTTCGCGGACAACGATATGTCATGAAAGTGGTGAGTGATCGGCCTGTCCGAGCCAAAGGCAAGGCCATTGATAAGAATACGCTCAAGCTGGTATTTGACTAATAACAAAGTGATAGCATCACGGACGAGGCCCACGACGATTTATGAGCCGGATCGCGAGCTGGACATCCACATCCTCAAGTCGACTGCCTACCGTCGTTTGAAGGAACGAGGAATATGTGAGCAAGGGATTATTCCTCGATTCTTTGGCACCATGGACAAGTTTGATCCAGGACCATGCCAGCCTTACCTGCACGCTTTTGCGAACGATGAATACCCACCCAGTGCAATTTTTCTAGAATATATCCCGAACCTTGAGATGCTTGATCTGAACAACTATACACAAGCTCGAATGAACAAGTTTCTTGAGGGTATCCGGGAAATACACAAAGCTCTTGTAGAGCACGGAGACCCGAAGCCCAGGAACATGCTCATCGTCAAGGGCGACCGGGAGCGGGTAGTTTGGATTGATTTTAATCGAGCAAACACCTATGACGAGCACCGCATCACAGACAGAGCGAGCTTTTTTGGACGAGGAAGAAGAAACAGTTGAAGGCCTTAAAAAGTGTTTGGTATGCCCTCTTCAATTATGAATTCCTTACTCTTCGCTCATAATTTCACTATCCCGTGTAGGAAGGCGACCTTCGGGAAGGGAGACTCAAACAAGCGTACATATTCTATTGTACGTGATGTATTCCATATTTCCTCTTCGCCCATGTGTCACCCTATCTATCCAACGCGAATCAGACAATTAAGGCCAGAGCAAACGCCTCCAACAACTCGGATGGAGGATTATGTTGCGAGCAGAAGTGTCTTGTGCTTCAGGCTGGGAGCCGAGGCTGGCGTGCTTGTCTGGTCGGCGAGTGGACATTGGCGTGCAAATAAAACGGGTAGCCATTGCTATAGAAAGTGAGAGAAAGTGTGTTTGAGTCCCCGGATGCGTTTACAAACTTCGAAGATGCAAAATTTTGTTAAAAAGTGGGAGTGACCCTTCTTCTCCTCACTGATGTTAATGAAAGTAGACTATCGTCCTGGTGTCGACGTGGCATTGTTTCGCGAGTCTTCCTCTCAGCCTCATGGTGGGAACGGGACGGATCGAGAGGGGCTTGCGGGGAGGGAGGGGGTGGGGCGAAATATCCTTTACCAAAAAGCAAATCTGGTTCGAAGTCATGTCTCCCTCGAAATCGATGAATGAAGGCTATGCAGGTGATGCTAATCTCGGCTCCAATCAACGACCGCCACGCCTCGACGGAGAAAGCCTCTCAAGGTCAAAAAGCTGGAGGCTTGGTACTCATGACCACATTCAGCTTTCAACCTCTTCCTCTGACCCCCTCGGCGCCCACCGCTCTTCTACTTCTTTGACAAGCAAAACATCCAAAATCCGGACAAATGGACACTATGGATCAGCCAACACACATTATAGATCCAGATGGTGAGGTGATCGTAGTATTACGCAATTCAAATAGTACCTTCGCGGATTTGGATGAAGATACGATTGAAGCCCCCGGAAAATTGGAGGGGATTGAAAGAAATTATTATTATTATTCATTATAGTCTTATGCAGTCAGTGACTATGAAGACTACTGGATTGAAAGAAAGCGGAAGGGAAAGAAAAAGAGAGACAAGAAAAAATCTCTCGGATGCATCTCAGAACCTGTTGAATGCCCTGCTGAAGAACCTGCTGCAGACGCTGTTGAATATCCCGCCGAAGCGCCTACCGCGGACCCTGTCGAATATCGTGCCGAAGAGCCTTCCGGAGAGCCTCCTGAGACCGAAATGGAAATGAGTAATCATACCCTGACAAAACTGTATGACCCGGGCGAAGACCTGAGAGAAGGGAGCTACCGCATCCAAGTATCTGCGAAGCATTTAGCACTCGTTTCACCCTTTTTCAAGAAGACACTTAGTGGTGGTTGGAAGGACAGTGTCAGCTATCTTCAGAACAGCTCTGTCGAGATCACCACAGAGGGCTGGGATATTGAAGCACTCTTGATATTGCTTAGAGTTGTACATTGTCGAAACCACCAAGTGCCCCGAAAACTCAGCCTTGAAATGCTCGCTAAAGTTGCCGTACTAGCTGACTACTATTAATGCAGGGAGGTTTTGGGTGTTCTTGCGGATAAGTGGATCGAGGCTCTAGAGCGAAATCGTCCCATGAAATATGGTCGAGATTTGATTCTGTGGTTGTGGATTTCGTGGTCTTTTGGGCTCGGCACTGAGTTCCGAAATATTACCTCAGCTACGGAGTATAATTTAAAGCTTTTTAAGATTCTAAATTCTTTATTACTTGCTTAATTACAGCTTTATTGACTATTTTCTTGTGGTTGAAAGATTGATTATTGGGAGTTGGATTTTGAAACTTAAAATTGCAGTCATTAGGTGGTAAAAATCATTGGGTGGTCAGAAACATTACTAATTTTGGTGGGGCAGTTGTAAAATGCTGTCTCACTACTCCGTACTCTGTCGTGGTGTTGTCAGACTTTTGGTCCACACCTCTCTAGTTGTAAACCCATGAGTGCTTGAGATTTGGCTTCTTTTTAACAAAAACTAGTGATTTCCCACCAGTTGTTGTAGGAATTCTATTTATTATATAGCCTAATTATACTCTGTACATTGAGTATCTAAGTGCCTATGACTGGTTTGCCTGAATTACAAGGTAAGTTGTTTGCTGGCTTTGAAGAGAAACACACCTTTCACTTGCACTCATTAATTCTATAGTGATGTTATGGTTGCTATCTTCATAGCCACAAGGAGTGATATTCCAAGGGGGAGAAAAAGAAAATTGTGTCCTGTCCTTGCCTTGAGCGCAAGTGCTTCAGGCACCAGTCATTGGTATGTACTGTATCATAGGTACATATAAGTGTTGGTAAACAGTCCCTGAGTGGTCCTTCCTTTTGAAAGCCAAGTATCATCTCATTGTGTTTGTTCACCTATCGCCTGTTTGGCTTTTCGGGGACAACTATTTTCTTCTAATACACTAGCCTATCAAGACTTTGGGTGAACAAGAAGTCTTGGTTTATCTACTCTGTAAAGGAGGCTGCTTTTCAAAGACAACACACCATGGGGAAGACGGGGTTCTGGGTTGAATGGGAACTTTGGGAGAAAATGTGTTTTGTAGGTTGAGTTCTTCGCCCCATCAATTTTGAAAGATGTTCTGACATCCAAACACAGGTTCTTGGCTGTCTGATTGTAAGCATAGCACCCGCCAATGCCGCCATATTGGGTATATTCATTCCGGTCCTGACATTTGAACAGGTTATAGTTCTATTATACGGGGCAGGGGTTCAAATTTACAATTCCTGGAGAATTCAGAAAGTGGCTGCTGCGGAAATGCAGTTAAGATCACACTGCCACGTTAGGGCTGGGATTGAAGGCGCACAAGACAACGATATACCGTTTGGGTCACGAGCAATTGAAAGCGGGGTTGAGGTGGAGGGTATCTGGATTTCCAACCACAATACTCCTCGAGGGACCCCTTTACCCCCAGCAACCCCCGAAGAGACCAGACCCCCAAGCCCAAGGCCAACCCAAGTGCTCAGCTTAGACTCTCCCGCTTTAGCTTTGAACCGCTCTAGTTAAGCTTTTTTTTTTTTTTTTTTTTTTTTTTTTTGGCGGGGGTGTTGAGTTCAAATATCCGGATTTCGTATGTTATATCCATTCAATGATACAATACAACCATGCATGACACTAGTGCATTGAATATTTTTCCAAAAGGTCTTGTTGAGGGCTCACTATAAACTCCTGGATGTCAGCGCGATCCAAACAAGCAGTAGTTCCAAACAGAAGTATAGTGCCTAAGAATATGCATTGTTAGTCATGGTTCGTCCAGAGCAGGCAAAGTCTTATGTGGGAAGCCTCCATCCTAATATATATTTTCAAGTCAGCGCAGCACAAACGTAGTCATGTATGTATATATCTCCAAGGGATGAATATTTTTGCTCAGCCAGTGATAATTCAAAAGAGGGGGGGTCACCAGATCAATTTGGAGTTTTGGTAGATTGGACTGTATCAGAAATCAACTGGAGAGGAAGGCCGCCTTAATCTGCTTCCAGGGCTGTGATTTTAAATCCTGGGCTGATACATGACGGTGAAATACCCAAATCCATACTGTGATGGTCATGATATGAGAGCATGTAACACAATTAGCCCCAACAATAGCTCCTTGCATGGCCTGGATGGCTGACTAGCTAGATTACAGGATCTAGACATTCCTAAATTACACAAAGGTGCAAGGCTCACCAACATTCACAGGCTACCCTTGTAGATACAAGTAAGATGCAGGTAAATCTTGAGTATGAACTGCGGGGATCAACCCAAGTTGTCAGCGGACAGGATTAACGTGGAACAATACTTTAGATCAAGAGACCGCCAGTTGCTCAAATCCAACCCCACTGTTTGGCGAGAAAGGAGGAACTGGTCTAGGAGCGAAAAAGGTTAGATCGGCCGCAGACATCATCGAATCCTTTAACTTACGATCAATGTTGATGGCTTCGAACCATCGTATTACCTCGCCGTCGTTTCCATCCTTTGCTTTCAAAAGACCGGTATCGGGCTGAACGAGGAAAGCTGGCGCCAAGGAGCGCATTTTCAAGTGCGTTGCGATAATGCTCGAGAATCTGTCCCCTTGAGCAACAAAATCTGATGGGCGACGTTCTAGAGGCCACTACAGTAGATCGCACACGGCCGTTAGCTCCAGAGGGGGGTAATGTTGTAAGCACAAGGTGTGATATTGGACAAACCCTGGTGGCATATTCTCCGTGCTCCCAGCTATAAAAGAGCCATGACATTCGTTCAACACAGTTTAGTAAAATAAGTGACGCCAAAAAGGTCCGAAAATTACCCTCCTTCTGTCTTTGGAGCAACCTTTGCTCTATCCGATTTAAGACGGCCTTGCTAGTTTTTGCAGCCCGCTTTTCTGCTGCGGCTCGAAGCTGGGAGCAGATAAGCGAATATGACTCGATTCCATCACCGCCAGTGATAGGAATGTGCCATCCATTCGAGCTCGAAGTTAGGGGTTGGAGGGTTGCAGGCGGAAGTGTTGGATTGAAAAAAACCCTCCAGGGCACAAGAGGACCAACAATTATTGATGTGGCCACCCATAAATCGAGGACCCCTGCAAGTAGTTCATCCTGGTTAAGCGTCAGCGTTTGCAGTACACGATCATCTTAACCTCTTATGTTGCCCAAGCAAGAACATTTCGTTAGATGGACATTTCATACTTACCTGGCTTGCTTTCCCGAGTTCTGCTGCTAATAATAATGTCTGTTGCATAAATACTGATTCTTCGCTTTCAAAAAACCGATGCGACACCTTTTTCATATAATCATCCAGCTTCCCACTTAGCTCTTCAACTTCTCCATCCAGAATGTGAATATTTTGTGGGTGTGCACCCAGTTCTGTATCATGTCCAGTGAGTGGCAGCTGTGGATCCGAATTGGATATACCTGGTTTTTGTGCACACAGGGTTCCAAATGTAACAAAATATGATGGATCTTGCTCAAAATGGGTTACTTCAATGCGGCCGGTTGACAGTTCGAAATGCACCTGGTTTTTGAGATTATTAATATCATGATATATGAGAACGGAATGCAAGGCTATATCTCATTAGTCTTCTTCTTCCCACTGCCCGATGGAAGATATCTTACCAACTGAATAAGCTTCAAAGCGGGTCATAAGTCGGGTTCTAACGCAACATTCCATCCAGACACGCGGATTTTGTAGGCTTCTGCACTGAGAGCATGGGGTACCAGGAGAACACTACAAATAGACATCTCAGTTGTATGGCGAGCAATATTTGGTGCTGAGCTCTTACTGTCTTCTTCAACATCCGGCACCGAAGGCAAGCGCCCATTTTCCGAACCAGCTGAACTTCTTTTCGACGTTCTTCAGAAAAGGCGGACCTAGACTTATGCTTGGTGATTCGACTAATTGCCTTCGGAACGGAAATTGGTTCGTGGCTCTGCGGATTGACATTGATAGCTATTGGCCTAGGATATGCTACATAGCATTGTGCATTGTCGTGGGCATCATGGTTAAACTGGGTAATATGTTGCTAAGCTGAATCAGCAATGAGCAACCGAAGATAAAACTGGCATGGAAGTTGTTTTCTATACACATCCCAACATAGTGAGGAAGCTTACATCGGAATCTAAGTGCTCAACTGTATCCTCTGGGACAATTTCGCTTGCAGATGCCGCAATGAGTGAAAGTTGCGAGGAGTGTCGGAGGTCGGACAATGAATCTGGATTTAGCTGCATAGAATCGGATACGCAGGCAGACGCATGAGGTTCTTCTTGGATCGGCGAAGATTGAGATGTCTGGATCGATGTTGCGGTGGGATGTTCATTGAGGTCTGTATTACAGCTCAGTCACAGTTAGCTTGACAGCTAGGCTTCGTGAACTATAAGGCTGATGAAAGGCTTTCAACATAGGGCTCACCGATAACGGCACTACCCGGGCATTCTAGCGCTGGGTCAACAACGACGCCCTTCAGGCCTTGAGAGCGTGTTACCGCTTGTCCGGTCTCGTTTGTCGCACCAACTCGTCTTGAAGCTTCAGCAAGGACGTTCAACCCATCCAGCCCACCAGGATTACTAAAATTTGCAAGTCGGCTAGAGTAAGGAGAAGTATTTGCTCGTGCCCGATCACTACGGCTATTTCCATGTGCTTTCCCAGCACCGGTTGTGTTCGAAGAGAGTCCATGCAACAGGTGAATCACGCGCTGTTTGTCCAGAATGGAGATAGCTTGACAGCTTTTGGTTAGATGACCCAGCAGGCTATCTGGTCTACCTTTGGGAAAGTTTTCTCCACACAGCTTGCATGTGTGCTCATAACGATTGCTCGAGTCTGGTAATTTATTTCCTCGATGGAAAAATTCGGAAACGATGGCATTCGGTTTCCGACCCATTCCAAACAAAACGAAAAGGTCGAGGGAAGTATCTCTGGAAAGGAGATAGTTTTATGAAACGACGTTGAACTACGAGTGGATTACCCGTCGCACTCGCGGAGCAGGACATGAAGCAGTACTTCTTGCTCAAAGTAACCCATATGTTAGAGTATCACAAGATGTCTTCTAGCGAAGAGCAAAAATAGCCGCAATAAATGAGGGAAACAGATATAGCGGATGATAAGGGACTTGTGTGACCTTTTGCCGTCAACAAATTTCCATTTGAGAGCCCGGGGTAATAAGGATTCCCGTCCATTCGGAGTACCAGACTGGCAAAAACCTGATGCTTTGAAGCGGTCAGCATAGGGATCAAGATAAACTAAGTGGTTTCACCCTAACCACTTAGGGATTAGCACTATTTATGTGGGTGGGTGCTCACACTTTGAACATGTTTTAAAGTGAGGGCCTATGAGGCTACTAACCATATGCAGAAGCTAGAGGAACCATGGAACCTGAACTATTCTGTGTTTGTGCTCACTGCTCGCCAACCTTGTAGGATGTTAGCATGAGTGAGATGAAAACTTTACACTGGATCAAAAAAAATCTAAGCTGCTAAGCTGAAGACTAACTAGTTAATAGAAACTAGTATCTTGATACTACCCTTTAGACTTCAGCCAGTGCTGGGAGAAGAGAAATTTCTAAATGTATAAATTCAACAAATTCAAGATTCAAGCTAGTTCAATAATTAAATAAGTAGTATATTTCTCAGTAAATAATAAGTAAAAGTTCAAACTAGACTTTGGTTATAGACCAGGCTAAAGCTACTAGTTAAAGCTTTGTACACATGAACATTGTTAGGAGGGGACCCAATGTAGGCTTTGTAGGTCGTCCTAGGTTTGGGGTACGAAAGGGCTAAATAGGTGTGATGCCCACAACTGATGGGAGGGAGTCGTGCATAAACATATAGGTCTGCTAACTAGGAGACTGAACACTGAGGTTCCCACAATCCACAAGAATCGTGCAATCCTTATACATTCAGAGGTATGGGCCATGTGACATCTCCTGAACATCCAACATCATCTGATGCAAGGTTGGTCTAGGCTTACATTCATAACAAACATATTGCTTGAGAAAAAAAAGAAAAGAAGATAGACAAGCACATGTATGAGTATGATATATACATAATGTTTGTGTATGGTGCTAAGCTAAAAGAGAAGTACTGTAAAGGTCTTTAACACAGTATAGCATCAAGAGCTTGGCCTGAAAAAAATAAAAGTTCAATCTCTAACAATATTTCTCTCTTGTCTATCAGATATTATGGTATCACTAGCATTTGTAAATGCTGGACATCTTATCTTGATATTTACAGTGTTCTCATTTATTAAGAGTAATTATCTCTTTTAGAAGTGTAGCACTATTTCATGTTAGGTATGTATATCTTTTTAGTATTATTACTATTCTTAACATATTTCACAGCAAACTCAGATACACAGTGAACTCAGACATACAGTGAACTTTGCATATGATATAAAATCTTCTTAAGATAGCTTGCTTGGCTTCACCAAACAGGCTACTAGTCCTAGGCACCATATAGAGGTGCAAGCTATGCTTAGGTGTCATACACAAGCTCTATACAACTGGAGTAAATGAAATCATATAATCAGTTAAACTTGAAAGAGAAATATCATATAATGTAGCAGCTCTCTGTTGACTTAATCCTTGGTTTTTTACTGCAGAAGCAGCTTAAAAAAGTCTATTTATGCTCATTTTTACTGTGAAATGAATGTACAATGATGAAGACTGAGAGATTTAATTAGTACTGAAAGATCAAACTATATTATATGCAAAAGTGTCTGAGTTCACTGTGTGTCTGAGTTTGCTATGAAATACATTATTATTATTCTTCATTATAGTCTTATGCAGTCAGTAACTATAAAGGCTACTGTGAGGATCATGACCCTTCTAACAGAGCTGGTGAATCAGAAGAAGATTGTTCTAGAGTAAAGCCCTAAACTCTAGACAGAGAATTCACTAAGAGAATAAATGTTTATCTAATACTGTAAGAATTCGCCTGTAAACCCCTTACACAGACAAACAACACCCACAAGAGCCCAGGGCCTGGGCTCACAAGCTGTTAGAAGTACATGTGTTCTCATGAGACACTAAGTCACATGCTTATAAGCACATATAAAAGGCTGCTACTGCACAAATCTCTTGTTGGGAGCCAGTGATAATCTTGTTTACAAGTTGTATATAGCTGCCAATACCAGATCTTTTATCTTGTATACTCTTTTCTACATACAATTTCTTCTATAGATTTATTGTTACACCAATTCACATATATAATTCTCACATTTTGCCACTCTTCTTTAATGATGCTTAATAATAATATCAACACAAAGAAGCCAACTCTCTAAAGCTTGTGAATCTGAAACACCAGCAAAAAATCTATCTGAAGAACAAGCCCAAGTTTACAAGAAGATGACAAATCTTGAAACTATCTCAGCTCTCTTAACTGTAGATGAAACTGAAACTAGCATTGCAATCTCAGAGAGAGAGTCTATCTTAGCATCAAGAGATGAAATTCAACAACTTTACAAGAAAACCAAACTACTAAAGAGAATGACAAAATAACAAGAAAAGTTGAATACTCTTCAGACCATCTAAAAGTACTTATAAATTAAATTTCTTGATATAGTTATCTTCAATCCAATATCTGTAAAGCATTTATTAGTCTTGAGATTATCACAACACATGAAGCTCTATCAGACTAGCTTTTATATAAAATATTAGTGGTTCATCTTCAGTATTAAATTCACTCACAATACAAGCAAATTAAATGATGAGAAAATTCTTGTATATACTCTTACAGAACTTGATTATATTGAAAAAGATCTCTGGAAGATTTATCATAAAAATAATTTATTAAAGAATAACTGAAATGATCTCAAGAAATTTCTATATATAAGACTAGAAGATCTAGCAAATTACATGTGAAACTCTTGACAAGTAATCTTCAATCTTTGCAAGAGTTTGAATAAAACTAATCAAGTTTATTACTAACAATTTCTAGAGCTTGCAACAAAAATTGATGAAGAATTTAAAAGCTTTGAAAAAATAAAGAAGAATCTATATATAAGAAACTTGAATGAGCTCATGTGAGCTAAACTAAATGAACAGCTGGAAATACCAGATAATATTAATAAGATAGTAGTACTGACTACCTGATTCTGATCAAGTATGACAGCAGCTCTTAAAAAGAATGTCTTGCATGTAAAGTCTATTAATTCAGTTGAAAGTGCTTGTGAAGATATAAAGACTGATAACTTAAGATCACAAATAGATAAGAGAAGTCAACTTCAGAGACCTGCTCAGAAGATAAGAAAAGATCTTATTAAGAATTATAAAGCTTTAAGAAAAGAAGAAAAGTGCTTTAAATATAGTTAAAAGAGATATCTTACAAAAGACTGTCTCAAGAAGAAGAGTAATAAATAAGAAATTGAAGAACTGCAAGTAGATAGAATTAATATAATAAAGTTGTTCAAGAAAAGTCTTCTTGCTCTCTCTCTCATTATTTTAGACATGTGAAGCCCAACTGACAGAAGTATTATCTGATCAGCACTAATAGATTCTGGTTATTAATCTCTAGTGATTAGTTCATAATTAGTCATAAAGCTAGCACTAGAGGTGTATAAGATATCTATAGAGATTGAAACTGCTATAAATCATGAGAATGTCACTCTTGCAGAAGAAATTGTGAATATATTCTTTAAAGTCTGTAACTCTCAGAGAAACTGGCAGTTATTCCATGAACAAGTAATGGTCATAAACATAAAAGATGAGATGCTAGTGAGTTTGAGCTGGCTGCAGTAATACAATTTCAAGATGTGTTTTAGAGAACTAAGACTAGAGTTCCAAACTGTATGTTACAATCTGCTTGCAAAGATTAAACTAGTTAATCTCTCAGAGCTAGTAAAGAGAGAGAAGCCCATTTATATAATAATTCTCCACAAATCAGAACAGGTAGTAACAGCAGATCTAGATCTTCAGATACTGGAAGTCTACTATAAACTTACAGAAGTGTTTAGTAACAAGAAAGCTTGAAAGCTGCCACCATACTATAAAGATAATTTGATTATAGATCTTGAGCTGAGAAAGCAGCCAGAATTTAAAAGAATATACAGACTTTCACAAGCTGAACAAGAGACTCTTTACAAATATCTAAGCAGTACATTAACTTATAGATTCATTCATTCTTTTAAGTTATCTGTAAAAGCACCTATTCTGTTTATATTCAAGAAGAATGGTGAACTAAGAATGTGTGTGAACTATTATAATCTGAATTTAAAAACAGTCAAGAATAGATATTTTCTACTACTGATTAAAGATATATTGTATAAGCTTGTGGGAGCTATAATATTTACTCAGTTAGATATCAAGGATATCTATTATAGATTGAGAACTTATAAAGAAGATGAGTGAAAGACTGCATTTCAGACTCTACAGAGACTATTTGAGTACTTGATAATACTTTTTGAACTCATAAATGCACCAGCAGCCTTCCAATTGTACATCATAAAAACACTTAGTGAATATCTAAATGTGTTTACAGTAGTCTATCTTGATAATGTGATCATGTACTCAGCTCACAAGAAAAATCATGAGAAGCATGTAAAATTAATACTTAAGACACTTAAGAATACAGATCTTTATTACAAGCTGGTAAAGTATAAGTTCAATGCTCACAAGATTGACTATCTTGAATATATCATAACACCAGAGAGTATTCTTATGAAGAAGAGCCACATAAATACTATTCTTGACTGGCCAGAGCCAATCAGTAAGAAAGAGGTTCAGATTTTCTTAGAATTCACAAACTTTTACAGGTGCTTCATCTCAAGATTCTCTAAGATAATCTGTGGTCTGACTGCTCTTCTAAAAAGAGGAGAAGTAAAGCTAAGCAGACATATACAAAGAGAGATAAGAAGAGAGATTAACACTTTTATGACTGAGAAAGATCATAAAGTCTTTATAGATCTGAAAAGAGCATTTACAGAAGCTATTATACTTTATTATTTTGATATAAAACAGAAGATCAGACTGGAAACAGATGCATCTGGCTTTACAGTATATAATATTCTATTACAGCTGGTAAAGAATGGCATTTGAGTTTTAGTTGGATTTTATTTACAGAAGATGCAATCTGTAAAGATGAATTATAATATTCATAATCAAGAACTGCTCACAATTATAGAGTTATTTAAATATTAGTACTGCTGGTTGAAAGACTTGCAAATACCAGTTTAAGTTC